ATACACAGTCACACAAAGAGACATAGTTACACACAGTCACACAAAGAGACACAGTCACACACACGCAGTCACACAAAGAGAGACAGTCAAACATAGACCCACACAGTCACACAAAGAGACACAGTCACACACAGACCCACACACAGTCACACAAAGAGACACAGTCACACACAGACCCACACAGTCACACAAAGAGACACAGTCATACACAGACCCACACAGTCACACAAAGAGACACAGTCATACACAGTCACACAAAGAGACATAGTTACACACACAGTCACACAAAGAGACACAGTCACACACACGCAGTCACACAAAGAGAGAGTCAAACATAGACCCACACAGTCACACAAAGAGACACAGTCACACAGACCCACACACAGTCACACAAAGAGACACAGTCACACACAGACCCACACAGTCACACAAAGAGACACAGTCACTCACAGACCCACACAGTCACACAAAGAGACACAGTCACACACACACAGTCACACAAAGAGACACAGTCACACACACACAGTCACACAAAAAGACAGTCACACACAGACCAACACACAGTCACACAAAGAGACACAGTCACACACACACAGTCACACAAAGAGACAGTCACACAGACCCACACAGTCACACAAAGAGAGACAGTCATACACAGACCCACACAGTCACACAAAGAGATATAGTTACACACACACAGTCACACAAAGAGAGACAGTCACACATACACAGTCACACAAAGAGACACAGTCATACACAGACCCACACACAGTCACACACGTATCCACACACAACCAGCGGAGCACGCGTGTACAGCAATGACACGTGTAAACACATTAACATACCCAACCCCCCCCGTGTAGCCTCTAAGAGACTGTTGAGGAAAGTGCTGTAAGCCGGCACGGCGCACGAGGGGCAGGCGTGGATAACACCACGCCCGGTCGCCTTTGTCCGCCAAACAAACGTTGGTTCCAAACCGCACGAAGTACTCATTTTAGGCTGAGTTGACCTAAGGGAGTCCCAGGACCGGTGCGCATGGTAGCCTTGGCCGCGAATCGAACTCAGGTTGGCCAGGTTTGTAGCGCAGCGCGCTGACCACCACCACGCCCGCTTTGAACAACCACAAATTCACAACCGCACAGGTGGAGGGGCAGGGGGGGGGGGCCCTGCCCCCCCTTCTCCCCAGGTGAGCGAAACCGTGACGTCATCGCTGGCAGGGTCTCGATCTTGTCATGACGTCACCGCCTACAGCAGCCTTCGTGGAGTGGGGGTTGGGGGGGGTGATGGATGGGGGAGTAGAGGGCGGGGATGGGGTGTGCGTGGTGATGTATGGACATTTGGGGGGGCTCCGTGTGGGGGTGATGACGCCATCTCATTAATTATTCATGAGTGGCATCATCCACTCCGCCTGCACGGGAGCAAGGGGGGTACGTGGCGAGGGGAGGGGGCACTGTGCGCGTGCGGAGGCCCAGGGTCCCCACTTACAGCTCGGGGGGCTTATCCCCGCTATGAGTTCGGGAACCCCTCAATGCACCCTAGCGAACCCCGTGCCGGGACTCGAACTGTGTTGTGAGTCAATGTGTCTGAGGATCTCACCCCCCCCACCCATCCCCCAACCCCTTCCACTGGATCCCCCGACAAAACACGGATTGGGGGGGGGCTTGGAGATTGAGTCACCTCCTCCGCCCCCCCCCGCCACACCCCGGTTACGGTAAACGATGACCCCGTGCCGAGCAGGGGCGGGGGGCCCTGCCTCATCGCCCCCCACCGTGCGCCACCGTCCCCGCCCGTGCCTTCCCCGTGTAGTTGACGCTTGGTTTGACGTTACAAGCTCGAGCTCTCCGATGTGTGATACGGTTGTGCGGCTGTGTGCCGCTCGCGATGATGTCCGACGTTTCGCCCCACGAGCCGTCAGATTTATCGGGAACTGAAACGTCGGACATCGTAAAGGCGTCAAGTGGCGGGCGAGACCTGCGATCCCTCGACTCGGCTCCTTGAGCGCGGCGCGAATTCATTGCCAATTGGTGCTCGCGTTCGTTAATTGGTGGTGCTGGTGGGACTGCTAGTGGTTGTGGTGTTGTTGATGGTGCTGGCAAGGCGAGGCAACTGATGTGGATCATGCCGCAAGACGCGATGTGTGAGGATCCGCGGGTGATTGTGGTGCTGATGATGATGATGTCATCCCATGCAACACAAGATTTCCGACTCCGGGCACGTGAATGCGTGGGTTCAGAGCAAGGCAAAGGAAGCGTTGAAGCGATGCTCATCGAGCCGTTCACATCTCTCAGCCATTGGTGGAAACTCTACATTCCTATGACAAAAGAGCGACTTTATCCCTTCCCGCCACCCTGACACCATCCCTGTAAGGAAGCCCGCGGGGTTCGCGTGGCCATCAACCCGAACAGCATGCGACCCGACACGGCCTGTTCCGGGAACAACGCCTCTGAGTGTGGCTCCCCACCTCCCCCTCGTCTCGCTGAACCCTCGTGGGACTATGGGCGTCATACCGCCGCGCGGTGGTGCCGCAAATGCGGCGGTGGCTACGCACGTGGCCTGAAATCCAAAGTCACTGTGCAGACAGCCAGGGATTGGTGGGTCACACCGATGTTGTGAGGCTCCCTTCCTGTGGGCGCTGAGGAGCCATACCCCGGGCTCGTCAGGAGAGGGCGACACAGCAACGGTGGATTCCACCTGTTAGGCCTGTACGTGACAAGTGTTCCCCCCTCGTACGAGTGGGAATTAGCTGGGTGATACGGTATCCTCCCACATGTAAATTGCCCGATTACACCATCTTAATATATAGAGGACGGGGGAGCTTGGACAATTGTTGACTGCGGTTCCTCGCCGCGTGGCTTCTGCTGCCGATGTACGTTCTGGAAGTTGTCGAGAGAAAAGAGATCCCTGGGGCAGAGCCCCGAGCGCGTATGGCGGAGGCCCGGGCGGTGGCGCTGCGACTCTCACGGACCTGCAGGGCACGCGCCGCTTGGTGGCGACTTGGCCCCGGGTGCGAGGCTCGTGAAGCGGGACGGCGGCCTGCGGTGAGCGCCCTCCGGTGGTGGTGGCCAATACACGGCACACAGTGCACACAACTCTCCACCAGCGCACGTGCGTTACATCGCCACGTGTAACACAGCCCCTGTGCAATCCACCGCTGGATGAAGCCCTCCCCACGTCTTGTCAGTCATGGGGTGTTGAATGGCCACATTTCACCACGCCCGTTAGTGCAGATTTGGCGAAGGGTGCGTGACTATGACCAGTTCAGATATTACTCGGCACAGATGTTCGCCGTGCTCGGGAATGTAATTCTGAGGGCCCAGTTCATAGCGCAGCGCTCGCCAACCACTGCGCCACCGCTCTTCATATACACCCCACCACCACACACAAACGCACCCACACAGACCCTACCCACACTACACACCTCGCACACCCAGTGCGCCATGAAGCCGCCAGGTGGCGCTGCGGCTCCACGCGTTTCCAAACGACTCCGGTCACCGTGACTGGCTCGACAGAGTACATTGCCTTCAATACTGTTTGGTTGTGTCATGCTGTGTACTCTGATGTGTACGATTATACGTGCACACTGCTGGGTACTGCTATAGGCGGGAGCTTCATTTCCTACCGACTATTTCCCGAGTCGCTAGCAGATTTGAGTCGGTGTCAACTTGGCGAGTAGTAGCACAGAGATAAATATACTGGATGTGGTGTGCACAGTTCGAAATGTTTTCCGGGTCAACCCATATAGACCGCGGCTGAAATTAAGCCCAGCACTAAACACACAGACTCTTATTTCACACCACGTGGGGGTTTGTAACCGATATCAACAAGTACCATGGAGGGGTTCTTACGACATGAATATGGCCAGATCACTGCATGGCCAAACCCAAAAATCGTTTATGAATTGCACATAATATACACAACACAAACAATACATGCATATAATAGTAATATGCAGCCGGCTCTGGCAATCCACAGATGGACAATACAACCACCGTTGTGATCGATACAATTACAGTCACTGTGCGCACACAAAGCTGAGCTCTGCTATTATTTCTCATGTAGCCATTCGCCCAAACGTGTATTTATCGGTACCCGCATGGGTAAAAAATAAGAACAAACTTTTTCTTGCAGCGTTTTACCGCAGAATCACAAAGACGTGTGATTGAATAATTGTTAAAGGGTTACCAGTGTGTGTTGGAGAGAATACTATTTTCGAATAAGGATTGTGATATGAACCCTCTACAGAATATAACAAACATCAAGTGTCAATACTTGAGACCGTATTTGTGCCAAGCTTTCTACCCATGGTGGACAACGGACGTGGTGGACGCCTCAGCGCCGCCTGGCGGCTCTGGTGCGGGGGTTGAAAGCAGAGCGCGGTGCAGCAACATTGTCGAGTTGTAAGTTTGTGCTCACCGTCTTTAACATCCCCTACTCACCAGTAAAAAAAAACCCTGTTACACGCACGGTGTGGGCAGGTCCTCATCCAGCAGCGGAGTGACATGTGTGGTTATCACGCTGTAATTCCGTGCGTGGTTATACCGTGCGCGTGGTCATCTCGTTTTCGTAAACTGGTGTTGTCACATGAGCGGGGTCTCTAGGGCCGAGTAACGAGGGAGGAAGGCATCCCCTCTGGAGCTGGGGCCTCTCCAGGGATACGTGGGGAGGTGCTAGCACACAAAGACAAACCCAGCGACAGACACGAACACACAGAGATAAACACACATACTTAAGATACAAACACAGTGACACAGAGGTACACAAGAACACTGGGACACGAGCCCATACAATATAAACGCTGTAACAACAATAACCGAGGTCCACCAGAGAAACAGGAACACGAACTCGGTCACAAGCCAAGACATAAGTCCAAGCAGAGCTGGGGGGGGGGGGGTGGGGGGGGCCGCACGCGTCACAAACTCCACGTGGAGCACACATGGCCCCCACGGGCGCCAATGGAGACCGCGGTGCCCACCTGCGAGGCAGCCGCGCGCCACACACAGTTTGCGTCTCATTTTATTTGATCGTCTTCTAAGAGAGCTACAAATTCCAGGAGGAAACACAAATAATAATAATAAACAACGCAAATCGATAACTTCTGCTACGCACAGATTATTAAGCTTTAACTTTTAGAAAAAACTCTATTGCAGCACCAAAAAACCATGACAACCAGCGACCTGAATGAGTCAAACGAGTTTAAAACATTGATAGTCACAAACAGCGGACACTTATAAAAACATAATACCTGAATCACGCCGCATAAGGGAAATTAGTAGAAAATGTGATTTCATTGAGATTTATGTCGTTAAGAGTTTGCGCGAGCTTGCGGAGGCAGCCTGCGCAAGCTGCAGTTGGTTTCGTGGCACAGACCCCATGCATAGGACTGCGCCGGGGCGGGGGCGTAGGGGGGGGCCAGGGTGCATGACCCCCCCCCCCCCCCCATTCTTCTGCCTCGCCATCTACAAAAATCGCCCCCTCTCAAGACTCGGCAATGAGGCCAACGGACGGTTCCAACACTCAACCCCAAAAGATCGGCCCAGGCCCCAGGCAACAGGCATCCCCACCTCACCAGCATGGCCGGACCCGCCACACAGTGAGCCTCACCAGTACAGCCGTACTGTCTCACTCATACAGCCGTACCTGCCTCCCGGTGAGCTGTCTCACGAGGACCAATGCCCCTTTCTTCAGTCTTAGACACAAGGCCGAATACCCCAAGAATAGGCCGAGGCATTGACTGGAAACATTTTAGGCTGAGGCCAGTGTCTAGGCAAGTGTCTAGGCAAGTGTCTAGGCAAGTGTCTAGGCAAGTGTCTAGGCCAGTGTCTAGGCCAGTGTCTAGGCCAGTGTCTAGGCTGGTCGAAGCCGGAGCCTCTGGGTTGAGGCCAGAGTCCAGGCCAGGTTATTTTGACCAGAATCCTGGGCCAAGGCCAAACCCAAAAGGACAGAGTCAAGAGCGAGAGCCGAGAATGTGTACCCAAGCCAGCCACAATGCCAAGGACTCGTCTCGATGACCCAAGAATGCCCATGTCTCACGGCGACAGCTGTGCCTTTCTCACCAGCACAGCAGTACCTGTCTCACAAGGAACACCTGTAGCTGCTGGACAAGCACTGTCCAGCATACAGAGTGGCTTGTCCCACCTGACGGGGCTGCACAAGTGCGGTTGTAGGGGACCGATCTGACACATTAACCGAACGAGTGCCGTGTCCAGGATTTGCGCCACACGGCAGCTCCTGCTAGCTCGCGGGGGCACATGGCAGCGCACCGAGGCCCCAGCACAGACGTCGGCTTCACCCGCTCTCACCAGTCCCGAGACAAAGAGCAGCTGCCACGACCCCCCGATCCCTGTCTCTCCCCCAACGTGACGCCCCACTACACCGTGACCCCTCACAAGAAGGAAAACATCGCTGCCCTCCGCTACACGTGTAAATCATCGTCAACACACAACCACACCACCACAATACTGGCTAGAAGGGAACAGCAGGCGACTACAATAGACCGACTACAGTAACACACGCCTCTCGTGCACGCCCCCCCCTTACCCCCCTCAACTCCGTGACTTCAACAGCCGTGGGCGCCACTGCGTTACAGCGCCAGCGACTTCACCCATGCGGCCAAAGCCTCCGTGCGCGGGCGAGACAACTCCACATGGCTCCATGTGGCGCCACATTGCTCCAGATGGCTCTGCGTAGCCTGTGACAGCTCCTCCTCCGCGTGGTTGCTGCAAGGTTAGGTGAGCGGTGGAGACCCAGAGACCCCGCCGGGCTGCGCGAGGAATCACCAATCCAGGCGGTGGCGACGTCGGATGTGACCGGCAGAGTGCGACGGGGCTGGGGGGAGATCGATGGTGCCGCTCCCTCCCACGCAGTCTGCCCCCGCCTCCCCCGCCCAACCCAAACGCTGCTGCTGCTGCCACCGCTTGACATGAGTTGACGCATCCGGGCGCGCGGGGCCGGGGTGCAGAGGTAGCCCCCCGCCCGGACGCCATCACCGTGTGCAAACTCCTTCTCCTCCTCCATCCTCCCCCGCCTCCCCGCATTCTCCATCTCTTTCTCTCCCTCCTCCTCTGTCCATGCATCCCTCCCTCCCTCCTCCCTCTCTCCATCCCTTCCTACATCCCTCCCTTCTCTCACTTGTCCCCACCCCATGGCAGTGCTCTCCTTTAGCTAACTGTCCATGTTGCTGCCTTCATCTGAAAATCACAAACGAGGAATGGTTTGAGGATTGAGGAAAATGCTGCGACTGCTCAAACAGCAGGGGTAGAAGTCGGGGCGTGGTGGGGAGGGGTGGTGATGTATGTATTATGATTAACTTATTTCACATCGTATTTAGCCAACCGTGAAAATCGGAGGTGCAGTGAGGGGTCACAGGTGAATGGCGACTGGTAAAGGGTTGTAATCTATCTTCACCTGTCATGACATCTCAAAGCGCACGCAAAATTATTCAAGCATGTCGACCAAGTGCGCACAGATTCAGAATCACCACAACAACAAAAACACCAATTACTGCGAGACGCAATACAAATAAATACAAAATAAACAAAATGAGAATGTGTTGTCTCGTCTGTGTCAGGGTTAAACGCATGAGTAATTGTTCACGAAAAATGTATAAGTGTCTCGACGTTGCACTCCAATTGATTTCATGCTCAATGCAGCGGTATGGCCAGGCAGGCTGTTCCAGGTAATCGGTGAGGATGACAATGAGGGGCCATGGTTGAGGAGGAACTATTTTATCCCTGCGCATGATGGCAGCAATATGTTCAGGAGCTCGATGTGGTTCAGGAGCTCGATGCCAATGTCGAGACGGATTCAGGAGAGAGAGCCTGTGTAGTTTTACTCATCATCCTCCATGGAAGGAACACAGACTATCGTGGTTCACTATCGGATCACGTTACGACAAACGCGGCACCGTGGCTTGTCTCGGTTGAGGGGTGACAGGTGAGGAGCGTGGTGATGTGAGGGGCGGTGAACATCACCGTGGGAGTCGCTCTCGTCGTGGGCCGCGTGCTCGCCGGGCGGCCGCTCTCCGGCAGGCTGGGTGGGCGGCGCAGGGCCCCAGATGCGCACGGTGCCATCGTCCGAGGCGCTGGCCAGCATGGCGGGTAGGCGCGGGTTCCAGCTCACGCAGTTCACCGTGTGGCTGTGCCCGGCCAGCACCGCAATAGGCAGCTCCCCGCGCTTGTGCCATACGTACACCTTGTGGTCTGCGGGGACAAGAGACATGGGCAAGGGCTGTTAGCGACCACCTATGCAGGCTGGCATGGCACACTAAGTGGGTGAGTGGCCAACCAACAGCACGTCTCCCAAATGTTTATGTTTACACACCACACCCCAGATACTCATTTATGGCCGAGTCGACCTAGGGGAGGCCCAGGGCTGGGTCATATATTCACCACCGCCTTTTGTCATGAGTAGGAATCGAACTCGGGTCCACATGTGCACACGTACGCACACTTGTGAATGTACGAGCATGTACATTTGTGTGTGTGCGAATGAGTACGTGTGTCTGCATGAGCGTGTACACGAGTGTATGCGTGCGCGAGCACGTGTATCTAGGCGTGTATGCTGCTAGAGCAGGTGTGTATCTGTATATGCGCACGCATGTGTCCGTATGTATTTACTTCTATGAGGTCATATCCTTGAATGTTTGTGTGCGAGTGTGCGCGGGTGTGATCGAACCTTCACTGCCACTGGCAATGAAGTCCTCGTGCAGGCCCCCGAAGGCCGAGTGGATTGTGTAGAAACCCTGGGTGGCTCCCTGGTACTTCCGCACCAACACGCGGTCCTGCAGGTCCCAGAGGTGGACGCCCTGCTCGCCCCAACCACACACCAAAGTGCTGTTAGCGAGCACCTATTAAATCCGGTACGGCACACCAAAAAGGGTGGGGATGTGGTCAAATCCATGCCCGGTTTACCTTTGTCTCCACACACAGACCATGCCCGCCACAATCCGCAAATTGGTGATCCGTAAACTCTAAGCCAAATGGGAAAAACTCAGGTTTTGTTCCTGACACCACCTTTTTTTATGTTAACCCTACATCAACCCAAAAATTAATCACGAAGTATTTTGAATGTAAAATAATCAATATTTTCGAGTGTTAAATATAACTTGCACGGAATATGTATAGAATAAATAAAATAATGTAGTGTACAATACTGTACATTACAGGAAGAACATTTTGTGCGGCTGAACTACACAGCCTCACTAGAGGCTGGGAACACTGCGTGACCTGGGACCCGCGATGGGCCGCTTGGGAGACAAGACGGAGACAAGACGGAGCGCGTGTTCTTCCGCAACGCAGAACATATCCGTTATAATGTGGTGTTTGAGCGGTAGGCTACAGTACGCAGAATGATACAGAAAGTGCTGTTTGCGAGCACCTATGAAGGCCAGCATGGGTGGCCAGCACCACACCCGGCCGCTTTGTCTCTCTAGTGGCAATGTTTACACACCACACCAGGTACTCATTGAAACCAAGTGGACCTAGGGGAGGCACAGGACCGGTTCAGATATTCGTTACTGGTGTTGGCCATAAGCGGGAATCAAACTTGGGTCGCCGGGTTCATAGCACAGAGTGATTACCATGACACTAGCACTACACCCATACAGGTACCTTGTGATCTCATCCACCCACGAACAACTAACATGCCCCGCCCCCTCCCCTCCCCCGCGCTTCTCTCCAGCGTTATCAGTTTTTCTGAGCAGCAAGGCCTTGTGCGAGAGACTGAGCGAGTGACTCACCTGAGTGAGCGGATCACCTGAGTGGGAGACTCACCTGAGTGGCCACATTGAGCAACGCGAGCCTCCCGTTCCTGGACACGGTGAAGGCCATTATGGGGTGGTCCTCCTGGACACTAGAAGAGGGAGGGGCAGGGTTACTGCGTGGCCATCCTTGCACAGGGCCTTTCCCTACAGGGCCTTCCTTCCACAGGGCCTTCCCTTATAGGGCCTTCCTTCCACAGGGCCTTTCCCTACGGAGCCATCTCCTACAGAGCCTTCTTTCCACAGGATCTTCGTCTAGAGCAGTGGTTCGCAACCTCTCTGGACCCCTCCAACCACTGCCAACCCTCGAGGTGAATGTCACGGAGCAGCAAGCTCAAGGGAAGTTGAAACTACTTGTCGTCATCATTGCACCTGGTGTCGGTAGCAACTCTGCGGAGCACTTCCCATGGTCCCGCGCAGCACTGGGCGGCAACCACTGTCCGAGAAGACGCTACTCTGCAGGGCGTTGCTACCATGGGATTCAGGCTCAGTGGAGATTTCAGTTACATTGGCACCATAAATAAAACAAAATTCTTATTGTGTAAAATGTTGGAGCGAGGGTGTGAGCGAGTGTGACCGAGCGAGCGTGCCAGTGAGCAGATAAGCATGTGATTACTTGAGCAAGTGAGCAAGCGCGAGATGCTTACATGTTGCGGTCCGTGAGCTCCTCGAAGTTGTAACCGCGAATACGCTGGTGTGTGTCAGACGCCAGCACCGTCTTGCCATCACCAACGCAGCACAGGCACTGTACACGCACGCCCTCCCAAGAGTCTAGCACGTTCCCCTCTAGGTCCTGCACACACGCACACACAGCATGCCACCACGGTTTGACGAGCGATGTACTGCGATGGGCACCGTGTGCTAGGCTGCATGCTTGGTTGTGCTGCTCACCGTGTGGTGCTGCTGGCTCCCGGAGTAATCACACACACCGGTAGAACTTCCCGCAGTACTCAAGACACTGATAGAACTGCCCGTAGTACTCACACACTGGTAGAACTGCCCGCGCTGGCCGCCTGTGACGAAGCGCTTGCCGTCAGGGTTCCAGGCGGCGCAGGTCAGGCTATCCTCGTGCGACTGTGACATCTTCACCTTGAGTTCCCCGGTCTGCAGGGGAATTCAACAGCAGCAGCAACTCCGTCAGTCCACACACGTTAGTAAACACGAATCAAATCATTTTAGAATTCAACATAAAGCAGAGTGGGTTATTGATGAATGATCCAGAACTCACCGATTCACTCCAGTAACTCTGCTTACCGGTGGTCAGTCGTCTCCTTTTCACTCTTCTATTGCTACTACAATGGTTACCGTTCCTGTGAACTTGTCATTGATTCCATTCCCTCCCATGTTGAGGACTCGGTCTGCCAGACACTGTTTCGTCCCACCCACACTGAAGGTCACAACTCACTCACTCATTCATTCACTCTCCACACTGCAGATTACAACACTTATACTTCAGCTTATTCCCTCTCATTGCTCTTCTGTGGAATTCACTGTCATCACCATCTTCTCCCAAGCTCCTATAATAATCTTGCGTGATTACTTGATAAATGCGTTCACCATTATCTAATACTTCTCTGATAGTCCATATTTGTTGCTGGCTACCTGACGCTTTGGGTCTGTGCTCAGCAACAGGCCGAGAGACGGGCATGGCTGTGTACGCACACCTGCACGTTCCACAGCCAGAGCTCGGAGCAGTCATCGGGCCCGCAGGCGATGAGGTGCGCATCGTCGGGGCTCCAGGCGAGGTAGGAGACTCCATACGTGTGTCCCTCCAGTGTGCGCGCCACCTTGAGCTGCTGGCTCTCCTGCCATGCATCACACCATGCGCATCACATGACATGTAGTGCAAAGCACGTGCAGCGTGATGCACGTAACACATCCATCACACGCTAAAGTCAACACTGCCGCCTCCTATGGTGCAGCGTGGTGTGCGTGACGGTGCAGTGTGGTGCAGGGTGGCAGGCAGTGTGGTGAAGGGTGGCAGGCAGGGTGGTGCAGGGTGGCAGGCAGTACAGTGCAGGGTCGTGTGTAGTGCAGTTAATAGTGGTAGAGGGTGTCGCGCAGTGCGGTATGAAGTGTGGTGCAAGGTGGTGTGTTGGGATGTGTGCTGTGCAAGGAAGTGCAGTGTGGTGTGCGGTGCTCTGACCATGTCCACGTCCCACAGGATGACGGTGGAGTCCTTGGAGCCCGTCGCGAGTTTGCTACCGTCGTTTGAGAATTTGCAGAACCAGACCTCGTTGCAGTGCTCGGTGAGGATCTGCCGCGTGTAGCATGGGAACTGCTTCCTATGCTCACATGGGGTCACACGGGATGGAGAGGGCCAGGCTGTGAGCCCTCAATGGAAGTATTTGGGCAGGAGTACGTACAAGCACACGGCACGAGGACGCACGACAACACGCGAAGCTTAAGAGCGTAGATGCCCACTCACTCACTCACCGCCACGAGTACCACCATTGAAGCCTGCACTCGCTCAGGCACTCTCGTATACCATCACGGGTGGGGGGTTAATAGTGGGGAAGGCGGAGGAGGGGTGGGTGCCATGCGGCGCTACCGGCTGCAGGAGTGGTCGGAGTAGAGGGAGACGCTGTCAAGCGAGGGCTCGTGCCGTGTGTTGTGGTAGACGCAGCGGTCGCGCTGCAGCTCTACCGCCTGGCGCAGCAGTGTTTGCAGCCGGTGCGGGGGCAGCATCACGGACGGCGGCAGGTACGCTAGCGACACCAACAGGGGGCAGCACGCACACGGGGAGAGACGCAGTTAGCACCGTCGCGCTCGCTAAACATTTTCCTCCACCTCCCTTGGGTGTCAGGCCGGTAGTAATTTACTTTTATTTCACCGAGAAATGGAATATAACCCGATTGTAGCAATGTGACTCACTGTCTCATTCGCAGCGGTGCCCGGCAAGCCAGAGCACACTGACGGCACCTGCTCTTACAACCTGTGTAGGCTACATGGGATATTTTATCTTTGTTTCGTCTCTATGCGTTTTTAAACACATCTATCTCCATTTTTTATTTTCAGATCCCTTTCTCGTTAGGTCACTTGGGAAAAGGTGACGTGGGTTTGTGGGTGCGTGCCCGTATGTTGCCTGGGGACGTGAGCATTTCTGCAAGCGTACCTGTGCGTACACCTTTGTGTGCACAGTTGCGTACGCCTGATGTTTCTGAGTGTACGTGGCTGTATTCTTCAGACCTACGCCGTGTCGAGGCGGTGCGATTATTGGTGAGGCCGATAGTTCAATGTTGAAGTGCAATTTTATTTAGGGACTGTGTGTTGTCTTGGTGTGGTCTGGGACTGTTTTTGTTGTTGTATTGCTGCCTTGCCCAAGATTGAATTTGGTGTAAAAAAAATTGGCAGGAATTGATGTACTTGTGCAATTGATACTTATAAACTTTATTTATTTATATTTAGTGACTTGCTTGGCTTTCCTATACTTTGCACTCCAATCGGTTTTTGTATTTTTTGCTGTTGTAACTTTCTGACTGGCCCCTACTGGACATCTGTGAAAAAAGAGCTTCATGGCTTGTCGGATTCTTCCAGTCAAAATAAAGATTCTGATTCTGACTCGACTAGACATTGTAACAGACTACGTTTTTCTTGCAGTCAATTACTCGGGCCCCCTTCCAAACGGTGACCACCCCCCACATCCTGCCTCCTGAAGGTGGGAAACCCCCACCCCCCCCCCCCCAACGGGCCACAGACAACGTGACACAATGCGGGAGTTGTTGCCGATTACGTCATCAAGCCCCGCCCATCACCTGCCGTCCAGTGTCACACGCAGGAACAGAGGGGATAATTTTTTTTCAAAAATATTTTAAAGTTATCCGATTGGACAAATAATCAAATCAATAATCAATACAAGAGTCAATCGCTCAGACCATGTGATGAGAGCCTAGCATTTGAGAGGGAGAGTGGGATGAGAGTCCAGTTCTACTCGCGAGTGAAACGCACGGTTGTGGGTCGCGGTCTCACTCTGCAGCTTCTCCAGGAGTTTGGAGCGAGAGGCGGAGCCCTTCCCTTCCCACGCCGCCTTCTCGCGCAGCCCCGCTGCATCGCTGCACATCATATACCTGCCCGCACGCACACAAACATCCCCCAAGTAGCCTTTAATAGACTGTTGGGCCAAGTGCCATTAGCGAGCACCTATTCAAGCCGACATGGCACACAGGGGGGTGGGTGGCTAACAGCATGACCGCAGCCTTGGTCTGCACCAGGTATTTGTTTAAGGCTGAGTCCACCTAGGGCAGGCCCATAACCGGTTCAAATTTTAGACACTGTTATTGGACTTGAGCGGGAATTAAACTCTGGTCGTAGAACATTGCGCTAGCCACTACACTACCGCTTCACACATGGACACACGAGCAAACATGCGTGGGCACACATTTACATGAACACACACGTAACAACACTGGGACACATTTGGAAAATACGGACGCAGAAAACACGCGCGTGTGAACACAGCCAACACATAGGGATTAATGCACGCATACATACACATACAGCTTGACCAAAATACACATGTGTCACACACAGACTCGCGCATACACCTGCACACACCTACACGTGCTCAAATAGGAAAACAATGAGAATATAAACACTGACAAATATATACAGGATTAACAAAACACACACAATCACGCACGCACACCCCAAGCAAAGAGCAACAATCACAAGCACAGGGGAGCACGGCTCGACAAGCCAAGCGTGGATAAGACCACTGCGCGCTGTCGTGAAGGTTGAAGCTCCACTGTTGCTTCACTGATGAGGCCATTAATCAGTAGTGCAATCAGACGGTGCAAATAAAACTCAGCCAGGAAATTAATTGGGCCGACGCCGGCTGCTTCAGCGCCCCCACGCCAGCTCCATCAGCTGGAGTCTGGTGGAACCACAAGCGTGTAGCGCCACAACTCCAATTGCCAGCGGAAGCGGCACCATGGGATGGAGATGCTACCTGGCGGCAATGCGCATCATCACGCATACCAACCTGTCGTCACAAACGCCCACAAACGCCCATGCACCCTCACGGCGTTGCACCAATGAAGTCAGCGTGGGTCGACGCTTTGTGAGATCACTGACGGAGCCCATGGCAAAGTGAACAGTGCCAGCGGCACGTGGCAGATGGCGCCGTGAGCGGTCGTCATTCCGACCTCGCCATCTGTGGTGCTGGCCCCTGGCTCTTGGCGCTTGCGTGCGGCAGCAGCAGTGCCGTGATTCCACGACCGTGGCCGGAGTGGAAGGGCGCTGCTTCAAGTATTGCCTGAGATTCTAAGGGCCACATTGATAAGGGCAGCACCGCCTCTTGCAATCGCTTTGGCAGAAGAATTCAAACACCTATTTATTACGAACCTATCGATTTGCATTGGCAGTGATTCGATGAATGCCCATGATTTGATTCAAGAATGAATAACAATTTTCTAGTTCGGATTTGATGGATGAGCCTCTGCGGCTGTGCTGACGCTCACCATGCACAAAGAGCCGGGCAGGGGAGCCACCTGCGGGTCGCCCTCTCAGCTAGGTCCCAGCATGCACCGGGGCCGTGTGCTCATAATCACCATCTAACAACTATCGTCAATTCTGCTTTGAAGCAGAACAATTGCCCAAAACGTCACCTATTGTTCAATATTCCCTCCTCAGGGCGATTTGTAATCGCCGAATGTGTTGAGTGTTTTTTTGCTTGTGCACGACAGCCAACAGTGTTACAAAATGTTCTGTATAATATTCCCATCCATAATGTCACCCCACTGCTGGATGAAGGCGACATTAGCAGTGGTGGAAGTTCGGGTATCACTCGCCACCGAGTGATATCCAAAGCATGGCCAGGAATGTAACTTGAGTCGCTGGGTTTATAGTGCAGTGCTCTAACCACAGTGCCACCGCTCCACCTCAGTCACAATTTTATTGAGTGGAACTGGATTTGTTCAGGAGACACTGTAGAGGTTTTACTCCTGGTTGTGAGTGGAGCTCTCAGCTAACCATGCAGCAGCTGCTGCCCTGGGCCCCCTGCAACGAGCAACTTATCAACGTCTCACCCTTTTGAACCCTGGTTAGACCACGCATGCACAGACTGTTTCAGTCTCGATGAAAACTCAAAACCCAGCCGAGAATAAAAACTAAAAAATAATCCGCACAGGCAAAGCAGAAGGAATCTAAATTCCCTGGCACGCGCCGCCACCGCCACTGGCGGCGAGGGGAGGTCGCTATTTGTTATGCAGAGACAGAGAAAGGGGCAAGGGAATGAAATGAATAAATAAGGACGAGCGAATAAATATTAACCAAGGAAACAGAGACAAACGGCTCCATCCGAACGCGAGGAGGGGCTGGGAGGGTTAGGGGAGGTAGTTGTGGAGGGAGGGAGGGAATGGCTGGGCGGGTGTGCGGGGAGGGGGGCGAGACTGCATTTTCCTGTTGAACAGGATGGTCCGCAGGTCAAACCGCAGCCCAAGTAATTGGTCTGGGTTATTGACCGAGCTGCCACCCGCGCGTCTCCCTCCACATTCACACGACACATAGAGCCAGTGTACATTCGCTCATTGCAGGACAGAGGTCAGGGTCAGGTGGGCAATGGGGTCAGGTGGGCAAGGAGGTCGCACACAATCAGGGCAACCAAAGGGTCCAGGCCACAAGGCCTCGGCAGAGCCCATTGGGCCATTATCACCTTCACCATCGGCCCTGAAATCCTGGAATCACGGGGGGGCGGCCACAAGGAAGGGTGAGGGGTCCACGTCCCTGTGTCATCCCACATAGTGTGGTGCCGTCAAAGTGAGCGACACCACACCGTAGCAACGCTCTCCTCCCAGCCCCCCAATGTGGCTGCAAATGACTGCAGTGCTCTGCGTATATAATCTCACACACGAGTTGCCCAGTGAACACAATCAACGAATGACTGCTGGGCAAGCGCTCTGTGGAGAAGCCTTAACTAGAGTGGGGAGAAACTCGCGAGGTGCGTGCCACTCTGCAGAGCTATCGCCGGGCAGGGTGTGGGATGGTAGGGGCAGAGTGTGGTGTACAGTGGACCGGTGTGTGCATTGGCACGGTGTTGCCAGGGAGTGTGCGGGGTGCCGTGTGGAGACTTGCGGCACCTGGAGCCGCTTTTTGGGTGGTGTGGTGTGTGCTGCAGTTTCTGCGATGTGTGTGTTGCTTGGTGTGGTGTGTGTGGTACGCAGTTAATTGCAGTTAATTGCAGTATGCAGTGCAGTGTTGTACGGTGTGTATGGTACGCAGTTAATTGCAGTATGCAGTGCAGTGTTGTACGGCACATGGGGTGGTTCACAGTGCAACGCGTGTGGTGCGGTGTACACCCACCAAGTGTGCGGCGCACATACGGTGCAGCACGTGACAGGTAGTGCGGTGCAGTGCGTGTTGCGTACCCGCTGAGCGCGTGGATGCGCTCCGTGTTGTACTTGAGCGGTGTGAGCTCGTGCCTGAGCACCTGCAGAGCCTCGAGCACGGCACCGTCCTCCAGCCGCTCCAGGTACTTCTGTTCCAGCAGCAGGAAGCGCATGCGCTGCACCGGCACCATACATTAGGTGGCACCACACCATTTACCACACTCCGCACTGCACCACACCATACCATACCATACAATGCACCATACCTCGCACCGCATCATGCACGGAACTGCACGTCACACAGAAGTGAACACAAGTGAACACACGTGTGCTCACAGGTTAGTATGCAGGCGAGTGGTGCAGTTCAGCTACTCACCAGCATCCCCCGCGCAGACCGGACGAGAGATTTCAGCTCATTGAGGTCGGCTTCTGCCTACAGTACAAACAGACAACAGCAGGAGCAGCAAGGAGGAAACATCATGCACAGATTCTCAAGTGCCCTCCAAAATGCGTGGTCCTTGGGCGTATTCAACTCGTGACAATACGGTAACCTTTCCAAGCCGCACAATTAGATGATGCAGTACACCGCGCACGAAGTCATGAAATAGGCTCGAGACTCAGCGAGACGTTCTTGGGTAAACGAGGGGAATAATAATAAGAGGCGGGATATATGCTGGCACCCCGGGGTCTGTGTGAGGTGAGAGCCGAGTACCATTTGCAAGAAGCCAAAGGGGTAAATTTCCAGAGTCCTGCATCCAGATTCCCAACGGAAACTCCGGGAGGAACCTGTGGCTTCCAATTGATGCCTGACCAGTGTCTGGTGTCCAACTGGAAGCGTCTCTGATTGTAGATTTGGCTAGAGTTGAGAAACCCTTTCCACACGAGTGACGCTCCTGTGTCTCACAGTCGAGGGCAAGTGGAAATAAACTCAGAATCTTGAGACAAGCTCACAGCTACGATTAAAAAATATATATTAAATGAAAACAGCCTTGGCACTGCCGGGAACATTTATACGTCGGCTGGGCGGGAGAGGGGTAGTGAGCACAAGGCTGGGCTGGGGTCACGACTGGTTTATTGAGGCTAAATTTAGCCCACAGATGTCTCAGCCACTCGCCTACAGCAACAGCACGAAAATATAAAACAAACACTCTCCCTCCGTTACTAGAACGATGAAAAACAATAAACAGCCGCAAGGGCTGCTGCAGCTGGGCATCGGTAATCGAGCCAGACCAGTAACCGAGCTCGAGAGCCACATTGAGGGTCGCAGAAAATTCCTTTAGAAACTCACGCAGCCATTTCACGGTGCCTGCGTTTCACAGAGCTCCACTCACTCGCGGCATATCCCTTTTGCTGCTCCACCCGCCTCGACCCGTGGCACGGCACAGGAAGTCTCCATCAAAACCAACAAGCAGCTCGTTCATAACTCGAGCGCTCAGCAAGGACAGGGTGGCGAAAGGCTACCACGGTTATCACACACGGGCACGTGTGTGAGCGCCCATGTGTGTTAGTGTGTACTGTATTTGGGCATCTAGTGTAGTGGTGTAAACATCAGCACTGGGGAGACAAAGGAGCTCGGCGTAGTTCTGGCCACATCCCATCATCGTGCCGGCCTTCATTAGGTGCTCACTAACAGCTGCAACAGCCTGTCCAGGTTACACGGGGGATCTTTGTCTTTGTATACACGGGTATGTGTGTGCTGTGCGTGCCGTGTGTGTACTGTACGTTCCGTGTGTGCGTCACCTTCTCCCAGTCACCGTCCATCACGTGGCTGCGAAAGCGTGCGGCGGTCGGGTGCTCCAGCCGGCACCCGGCCTCCTGCATGAGCAGATCCACGGTTTGGCTGGAAACACAACAGATTGGAGGCTAACTCACCCGCTCACCTAACTCGCCCGCCACACTGCAAACTGGGTGAGAGGGTGGTGCAGCTGTAACACTTGTGTCTCACAGCAAGATGGACCGGGGTTCAATTTATGACGTTAGCACCTTCCTGTGTGGAGTTTGTGTTTTTTCCCCCTGTTGTGCAGTGTGTGTGTAGTCAACATCGCCACCAGGGAGATAAAGGCAGCCGGGCGCAGTGTTGGCCACCCACCCTCTCGTGTGCTGTGCTGGCCTTTATCGGTGCTCACTAACAGCACTTGCCCCAACAGTCTATTAAATATATATGGGGGATCTTTTTCTTGACTTTTTTGTGTGTGGATTAAGTTTTGTATGGGTTTTCTCCAGCGTTTATGGTTTCTTCACGTAACTAAACACATGTCACATAATTGGTGTTAGTAAAACATCCAAATACAGGACATTCCTGAAGAAGTGTGTAAGTATATACGTTCTATACTTGCACTCTAACTTCACTCACTACAACACCACTCTCACCACACTCACAATTTCCACACTCCATACTCATCACCCTCACTCCTCATCACTGCACTCACACTCACCACCATGACACCCACGAATTTGGTGACCCACATCACTCTTGCAAATTATACTTATCCTGGTCTCGTAAGTTATCACTTGGTTAAACAAAATAAACTTGAGATGTGAACTCGAACGACACCCACGGCAATAGCAGTCTCACATATCTCACCCACATTGCACTCACCAAAGTCCTTGGCGTCCCCCACGCCCCAGAGACTATCCTGCCCCATCACATCCTGACCCCGACTCGAACCTGTTTGGCTTTATATCCCCATTTGCCCCAGGGTATCCAGCTTCCATTCAGCCGTGGTGCACGATTGTCAATAAATTAATTAGTTTTGTCAATCTCACGTCTATGACCCCCGTATGTGGCTCCCCCACACACTCTCTGCCCGGATCACACAATGAGTGGAAACCAGACTCGAGGTGGGGCTCAATCGGCCTGATTACGGAGGCGGCTCGGAGACTTGGACGTCATAGACGCAACAGCCTCAATGACCCAACTCTCCACCCTCCATCCTGGGGTTCAGCTTTGTTACCCGGACCCCAGGGGCAGCACCTGGAATCTAGGTGGGTGGTGATGCAGCCACTGACACCAAAGGGGGAGGGAGGGGGACAGTCAAAGGCGAAAGACATAATTTACAGAGGGCAGGTAGATTGACCCATAGCTGCTCATGATGGGGAAATTGCCACCCATTTGCGTCATGCTGCAACACACAGACACACAGATAGATATAGGTGTTAAAACAGCACAGAACCACACACACAGGTTGTGGTACAAATACGAAACTCCCCAATATAGTCGACACAGGCTGTTGGCGCAAGTGCTGTTAGTGAGCACCTATGAAGGTCGGTACTGTGCATGTGGCGGTGGTGTGGCCAACGCAATGGCCACCTTTATGCTGATGTTTACACACAACACTCGTTACTCATTTAATTATGAGTCAACCTAGGGGACGCACAGGATGGATTCTTCTATCACTCACCACGGATGTTAACTGTGGCTAGGATTTAAACATAGGCGACCTGGTTCTTAGCGTCTTAGCACAGTGTGCTTACCACGGCGCCACACAGGAATACAAAGATACATACACACAGGTGTACATAGATAATACAGCTACACACATACATGCAAACATAGGTGTACAACTTTACTCCCAGATGTCCACAAAGGTACACACACAGCAGGGGCGTGCGGTCAGGGGAGGCAGGGGAGGCAAAGCCTCACCTGTCATACTCCAATGAAAATAGCTGTTACGAACAAAAATAATCAAATAAAATAAACATAAAGATTTTTCCACTGATTTATAAATGGAATTTCTGTACGAATCCAATCATTTTTATAGTCAAAATTGCTAAATTTGCGGAGCTCCGCTGCAAATACAGGAAGAGACGAGAGGTGAGGCAGCGACGAGCTCAGCCTCCCCTCTGATTGCGCAACCCCCTCAGTAACTGGATGGAGCGCGGGCAATAAGCGCGTGCCTGTTACTATCTCAGTATGTCACCAATGTAATGTTTGTAGACCCCTTCATTTCATGTCCTCGCCTTCCATACTCCAAGTAACTTATTTCACGTATGTGTATAAATATATTTAGGCTCGCTGGTGTCGTCATGAAACTGCAATGAAAACGTCTCAGGGGAGGCAGCTATCACATCTGCCTCACCTGAGGGGGACGTGTCTAACACACCCCCTCAGCGAGGCCACGCCCCCTCAGCGAGGCCACGCCCCTCAGCGAGGCCACGCCCCCCACACAGTGAGGCCACGCCTCCCTCAGTGTGTGAATCTGGCTTTAACATGAGCCAGTGCCTCCCCAGCCATTGACCTCGCCGCACGTCACTGACACACACAAAGGTAAAATAAAGTGTACACACAGGAACACACACACAATCGTACTCTCAAGTACACACAGACACGCGAAACTACACGCAGTACAAAGGCATATACACAAACACACAGATCATCCCTTTTTCCAGGTTCTTATGACTTCACTCGAAATATCTCGCACAAGGAGTAGAAACCAGACCCAAGATGGGTTTTATTTGTCCAGATTATGGTGGCGGCTGTTGTTGCTGGCTACTTGACATTTTGGGCCCTTGGGCCTGTGTTCATCAACCGCGATAAACAACCACATGGAGAGCCACACATCGGTGTACACCAGCTTGCTAGGCACCCTTGCCAAAGGAACTGTGTCTCATGTTGCCTGAACCGGGTTGTTTTCCATCAACCAGCGATTTAAAAACTGAACTACCCCCACAACTGGTGCGGCACTACTACATGCTTTGGGAGCTTGTGGAGAACCCAGGAACCCGGCGCCACGGACCCACATCAGGGGAGCTTTAATCCCAGCCTGGGCAATGAGTGTACAGAGCTGAGGAAAGGATCAGCTCTGCTGACACTCACAGGGCCAACATTCATTTGCCCGTTTTCCACCGAGCTTAGACAAAGATGTCCTTATAAACAACGTCCGTGCCTATGACCAATTCCCCTGATCTCGTTAGATCTCGGGAACTTATTGGGGTTCGGCCTGGATAGTGTATGGATCAATGGACAACCGTCCGTGCATAAAGCAGGTGTTATAGGCTGCTGTGGGTCTGCATTGTGGACTGCAGTGGGCAGTGCCACAAGCCAATTGTGATCTCCGCCTTCACCTATCCACGCTGACCAACACAGTGAAGTATGGTCAACACGACCCAAACGAGGTCCTCATCCACCAGTGGAATGACAAGAGGGGCTGTATATATACACACATGTCCTTGTACCCAGTGTTAACAAAGATTTTAAAAAAATCCCTCCTATAGCCTAAACAGACTGTAGGGCAAGTGCTGTTCGTGAACACCTATGAAGGCCGCCAAGGGGCACATGAAGGGGTGGGTGGCCAGCACCACGCTCGGCCGGCTTTGTCTTCCAAGTGGCGATGTTTAAACACTGCACCAGGTACTCATTCGAGACTGAGTCGACCTAGGGGAGGCCCAGGACCGGTTTAGATAATCGTCATTGGTGTTAGCCGTAAGCGGGAATCGAACTCGGGACGCCAGGTACACAGCGCAGCACGCTAAGCAATACACTACCGCTCCCCACGCCCGGTTTAGACAAACAGTGTTTACACGAACGTAAAACTCCACCCACAAAGTGTTTTCACTCGGATGTACGTATGCACAACGTTAATAACTGACTGCCCGCGAAGGAGCAGACTAATGTGTATACACGGCCCATCACATGTCATGGCGCCCGGGGGCCTGAGGCTGAGAGCGCACCTAGCCTGGTACCAGTGCCTTGTACCAGGCTTTGGTGAGTTCACTGCCACTTGGTGATGAATGACTCTTATAATGCTGCTGCTGTTGTTGTCACGCACTTAATGCACACGTCACTGTTATATAATCACCAGCGCTATCAGAGACGCAAACAGAAAGATCACCAGCACAAAAATCAACATCTTCCTCACCATCCATCGTCATCTCAGCCGTGACTGCAACCCAGGTCCCACGGTGTGTATGATAGGGTTGGAGTCTGGCACAAGGCGAGTGAAACGCGGATTGCTGTGTGGTGGTGATGGTGGTAGTGATGATGATGATACGTCCCCACGGCCTTTAATTAGACTCGCGCACGTGACGTGGTGGGCTGTTTACAGCTGAGAGCCCTAAACCAACTCACCACTAACACTCACAGTGACCCTCACACTCATCCCACCACGATACTCACCCTCATCACGACACTCACCACCTCACAATGATCCTCACCACCGACACTCACCCTCACCATAACACTTACACTTACCTCAAAGCACACAATGACCCTCACACCATGATACTCCCCCTCATCACGACACTCATTCATCACGTCACAATGACTCTCACACTCACCCTCACCGTGACACTCATCAGGATCCTCACACCACAATGACCCTAACACTCACCCTTACCGTGACACTCATCAGGATCCTCACTTACCACAAACCTCAACATAACAGACTTACCACGTCACTCACCCTCACCTCCACGACCCTCAACAACCTCTTCACACTCACTACAACGCCATCCTCATAACCTCCAAACAATCATTACATTCGCCCACACCAGAACAATCACCCAGTAAAGTGCAACCCGTCTTATTTACTTGTTTATATTCGAATTTGTGTTAAATTATTGTTCAATACTGTATAGTCTAGATTTGATACATTTTAAATGTTTTAAAATATTCTGTTGCATTTTGAGTGGCTTTGTGTAACCCATGAAGCCCTTGCAAAAGAGGTCATGTATCATGTGTCTCAATAGGCATGTGTTTAATCTGCTGGTTTAATAAAGGACGTTAATGCCCTCACCACGACCCTCACTCACCACGACCTTCACCCTCCACTACGTCCCTCAGCATCACACTCGCCACGGCCCTCACCATGACACTCGGACTCACCATGACACACACGCATCATCCTCCACCTAACCACGATCCTACACCCCTCAACTACGACACACTCTCACCGAGGCCCCTCACCATGACCGTCAAATTAGCATCATTCCTCGCCACGACTTTCATCACCACCCTCACCGACACAATGACCGTACTACTCTCAGTCTCATTCCGTCCCTCACCCTTCTTACTTACTCACTACAAGGCCTATGCTGGGCTATTATTCTCGCGACCCTCACCTGTACCCTCACCTGTACCCTCACCTGTACCCTGAGCCCGTGCCTCATGAGACCTTACACCTCCCCTCCCCCGTCTACTTCACTCACGATTGTAAACAAGGGTGAGTTTTGAGGTGGCGGGGTGAGTGGCGAGGTCCCCAGGTATCGGGGTGAATGGCGGCGGGGTTGCGGGTACACGGCGACCATGGTGGTGAGTAGTATGGCGAGTAGTATGGTCCCGGGGTGAGTAGTGAGGTCCTCGGGTCGTGGGGTTCGTGGTGAGGTAACGACGTGTCAGTGGTGAGTAGCTCGTGGTGAGGTAACGACGTGTCAGTGGTGAGTAGGTCGTGGTGTTCGTGGTGAGTAGGTCGTGGTGTTCGTGGTGAGGTAACGACGTGTCAGTGGTGAGTAGCTCGTGGTGAGGTAACGACGTGTCAGTGGTGAGTAGCTCGTGGTGAGGTAACGACGTGTCAGTGGTGAGTAGCTCGTGGTGTTCGTGGTGAGGTAACGACGTGTCAGGGTGAGTAGGTCGTGGTGTTCGTGGTGAGTAGCTCGTGGTATTCGTGGTGAGGTAACGACGTGTCAGTGGTGAGTAGGTCGTGGTGTTCGTGGTGAGTAGCTCGTGGGTTCGTGGTGAGGTAACGACGTGTCAGTGGTGAGTAGGTCGTGGTGAGTAGCTCGTGGTGTTCGTGGTGAGGTAACGACGTGTCAGTGGTGAGTAGCTCGTGGTGTTCGTGGTGAGTAGCTCGTGGTGTTCGTGGTGAGGTAACGACGTGTCAGTGGTGAGTAGCTCGTGGTGTTCGTGGTGAGTAGCTCGTGGTGTTCGTGGTGAGGTAACGACGTGTCAGTGGTGAGTAGCTCGTGGTGAGTAGCTCGTGGTGTTCGTGGTGAGGTAACGACGTGTCAGTGGTGAGTAGGTCGTGGTGTTCGTGGTGAGGTAACGACGTGTCAGGGTGAGTAGCTCGTGGTGTTCGTGGTGAGTAGGTCGTGGTGTTCGTGGTGAGTAGGTCGTGGTGTTCGTGGTGAGGTAACGACGTGTCAGTGGTGAGCAGCTCGTGGTGTTCGTGGTGAGGTAACGACGTGTCAGGGTGAGTAGCTCGTGGTGTTCGTGGTGAGTAGCTCGTGGTGTTCGTGGTGAGGTAACGACGTGTCAGTGGTGAGTAGCTCGTGGTGTTCGTGGTGAGTAGCTCGTGGTGTTCGTGGTGAGGTAACGACGTGTCTGGGCGAGTCGTAAAATCACGAGCCCCGAGGGGGTGCGTGCACCGTGCCCCTCACCTGAGGCCCAGGCCGTGGAGGTACTGGCCGATGACGCGCACCACGTCCTGCTCCGTCTGGGACAGCGAGGGCCGCTTCTTCTTGGTCGTCGCCTCCTCCTTGGGCAGTCCATTCGCGATGAGGCCTCCCCCGCCGGCCTCGCCGTTCTGCAGCGGCGCCGCGTCGGGCGCGCCGTTCGCTTGCATCGCGGCCTCACCCGGGCCACCCCCCTCAGGGTCCCCCTCGCTGCCTTTCCACAACCCCCTGGGTTACCTAGGTACCCCCTGGGTTACCTGGGTACCCCCCGGGTTACCTGGGTACCCACCCCCCACCCCGAGCTTCTCTCGCCGCCCGCGCCGCTCACCGAGACAACCCGCCGCCGCCGCCGCCGATCAGAGAGCCCGCGACGCGATCACCCCGATCCGTGTCGGCAGCGAGAACCGCGGGGCTCGATCGGCACGGTTCGGGTTTTCGAACGAGCAACGGTTCGGGTTCGATTCAGCTCGCAGGAGCCGTTGTTGACTCGGCACGGCTGGGCCCGGCTGGTGCGGATCGCGGCCCCGGGGGTCTCTCGGCGTCTCGCAGCCTCCTCTCGCTCCCGTCTCGGCTTTTGTGTTTGCCGAGTGACGTCATCACAACACGGCCCGCGCGCGGCTCGCCGGGACACCGCCCCCGCGGCTTCCGTGCGCCGGGCAGGAAGTAAACACGAAGCACGTGGCCTGCGGCGCGGAGGTGCGGAGGTGGTGGGGCATCGTGGAGGGGCAGAGGTGGTGGGACACCTGGAGGGGCAAAGAGGTGGTGGGGCAGCGTGGAGGTGCAGAGGGGGTGGGGCACGTCAAAGGGCAGAGAGGTAGGGGCACGTGGAGGGCCAGAGGTGGTGGACACCTGGAGGGGCAGAGGGGTGGAGCATGTGGAGGGGCAGAGGGGTGGAGCACGTGGAGGGGCAGAGGGGTGGAGCACGTGGAGGGGCACAGGGGTGGAGCACGTGGAGGGGCAGAGGGGTGGCGTGGAGGGGCATAGGTGTTAGGGCACCGTGGAGGGGCAGAGGTGGTGAGACACCTGGAGGGGCAGAGGTGATGGGGTACCTGGAGGGGCAGAGGTGGTGGGGCATCGTGGAGGGTGCGGAGGGTGCGCAGGGGGTGGGGCACGTGGAGGGGTAGAGGGGGGCACATGGAGGGGTAGAGGTGATGGGGCACATGGATGGGCAGAGTTGGTGGGACACCTGGAGGGGCAAAGAGGTGGAGCACGTGGAGGAGCGGAGGTGGTGGGACACCTGGAGGGGCAAAGAGGTGGAGCACGTGGAGGAGCGGAGGTGGTGGGGCAACGTGGAGGTGCAGAGGGGTGGATAACGTAGAGGGGCAGAGGGGTGCAGCACGTGGAGGGGCAGAGGGGTGGCGTGGAGGGGCAGAGGTGTTGGGGCACCGTGGAGGTGCAGAGGGGGTGGAGGACGCCGAGGGGCAGATGGGTAGGGCACGCGGGGCAGAGGGGGGCACGTGGAGGGGCAGAGGTGATGGGGCACGTGGAGGGGCAGAGGGGTGAGGCACGTGGAGGGGCAGAGGTGGTGGGGCACGTCGAGGGGCAGAGGTGGTGAGACACCTGGAGGGGCAGAGGTGGTGAGACACCTGGAGGGGCAGAGGTGATGGGGTACCTGGAGGGGCAGAGGTGGTGGGGCACCTGGAGGGGCAACGAGGTGGGGCACGTGGAGGAGCGGAGGTGGTGGGGCATCGTGGAGGGGCGGAGGTGGTGGGGCACGTGGAGGGGCAGAGGTGGTGGGGCACGTGGAGGGGTAGAGGGGGGCACATGGAGGGGTAGAGGTGATGGGGCACATGGATGGGCGGAGGTGGTGGGACACCTGGAGGGGCAAAGAGGTGGAGCACGTGGAGGAGCGGAGGTGGTGAGGCAACGTGGAGGTGCAGAGGGGGTGGGCCACGTCAAAGGGCAGAGAGGTAGGGGCATGTGGAGGGCCAGAGGTGATGGGGCACGTGGAGGGGCAGAGGTGGTGGGCACCTGGAGGGGCAGAGGGGTGGAGAACGTGGAGGGGCAGAGGGGTGGAGCACGTGGAGGGGCAGAGGGATGGCGTGGAGGGGCAGAGGTATTGGGGCACCTTGGAGGTGCAGAGGGGGTGGAGGACGCCAAGGAACAGATGGGTAGGGCACGCGGGGCAGAGGGGGGCACGTCGAGGGGCAGAGGTGGTGGGGCACGTAGAGGGGCAGAGAGGGGCACGTGGAGGGGCAGAGGTGGTGGGGCACGTCGAGGGGCAGAGGTGGTGAGACACCTGGAGGGGCAGAGGTGGTGAGACACCTGGAGGGGCAGAGGTGATGGGGTACCTGGAGGGGCAGAGGTGGTGGGGCATCGTGGAGGGTGCGGAGGGTGCGGAGGGGGTGGGGCACGTGGAGGGGTAGAGGGGGGCACATGGAGGGGTAGAGGTGATGGGGCACATGGATGGGCAGAGTTGGTGGGACACCTGGAGGGGCAAAGAGGTGGAGCACGTGGAGGAGCGGAGGTGGTGGGGCAACGTGGAGGCGCAGAGGGGGTGGGGCATGTCAAAGGGCAGAGAGGTAGGGGCATGTGGAGGGCCAGAGGTGATGGGGCACGTGGAGGGGCAGAGGTGGTGGGCACCTGGAGGGGCAGAGGGGTGGAGCACGTGGAAGGGCAGAGGGATGGCGTGGAGGGGCAGAGGTGTTGGGGCACCGTGGAGGTGCAGAGGGGGTGAAGGACGCCGAGGAACAGATGGGTAGGGCACGCGGGGCAGAAGGGGGCACGTGGAGGGGCAGAGGTGGTGGGGCACGTCGAGGGGCAGAGGGTTGGGGCACGTCGAGGGGCAGAGGTAATGGGGCACGTGGAGGGGTAGAGGTGATGGGACACGTGGAGGGGCAGAGGGGTGAAGCACGTGGAGGGGCACGTCGAGGGGCAGATGTGGTGAGACACCTGGAGGGGCAGAGGTGGTGAGACACGTAGAGGAGCAGAGAGGGGCACGTGGAGGGGTAGAGGTGATGGGGCACGTCGAGGGGCAGAGGGGTTGGGGCACGTCGAGGGGCAGATGTGGTGGGGCAGAGAGGGGCACGTGGAGGGGTAGAGGTGGTGGGGCACGTCGAGGGGCAGAGGTGGTGAGACACCTGGAGGGGCAGAGGTGATGGGGCATCTGGAGGGGCAGAGCTGGTGGGGCAACTGGAGGGGCAAAGAGGTGGGGCACGTGGAGGAGCGGAGGTGCTGGGGCATCGTGGAGGTGCAGAGGGGGTGGGGCACGTCGAGATGCAGAGCGGTAGGGGAAAATAGGGGCACGTGGAGGGCCAGAGGTGATGGGGCACATGGGGGGGGCAGAGGTGGTGGGCACGTGGAGGGGCAGAGAGATAGGGGCAGAGAGGGGCACGTGGAGGGGCAGAGGTGGTGGGGCACGTCGAGGGGCAGAGAGGTAGGGGCAGAGAGGGGCACTTCGAGGGGCAGAGGGGTTGGGGCACGTCGAGGGGCAGAGAGGGGCACGTGGAGGGGCAGAGAGATAGGGGCAGAGAGGGGCACGTGGAGGGGCAGAGGTGGTGGGGCACGTGGAGGGGCAGAGGTGGTGGGGCAGAGATGGGCACGTGGAGGACCAGAGGGGTGGGCCACGTGGAGATGCAGAGGGGTGGGGAACGTGGAGGGCAGAGGTGATAGGGCACGTGGAGGGGCATCTGGAGGAGCAGAGGGGTGGGGCACGTGGAGGGGCAGAGGTGGTGGGGCACGTGGAGGGGTAGAGGTGATGGGGCACATGGAGGGGCAGAGGTGGTGGGACACCTGGAGGGGCAAAGGGGTGGGGCACGTGGAGGAGGAGAGGTGGTGCGGCACTTGGAGGAGCAGAGGCGTGGGGCACGACGAGGGGCAGAGGTGGTGGGGCACCTGGAGGGGCAGAGGGGTGGGGTACGTCGAGGGGCAGGGCACGTCGAGTGGGAGAGGTGGTGGCGCACCTGGAGGGGCAGAGGCGTGGGGCACGACGAGGGGCAGAGGTGGTGGGGCACCTGGAGGGGCGGGCGCGGTAGGGCACGCGGAGGGACAGAGGTGGGAAGTGGTGGGACACGTGGAAGGGCAGAGGTGGTGGGGCACGTCGAGGGGCAGAGGGGGGCACGTGGAGGGACAGAGAGGGGCACGTGGAGTGGCAGAGGTGATGGGGCACGTCGAGGGGCAGAGGGGGGCACGTGGAGGGGCAGAGGTGATGGGGCACGTGGAGTGGCAGAGGTGATGGGGCACGTCGCGAGGCAGAGGTGGTGGGGCACGTGGAGGGCAGAGAGGGGCACGTGGAGGGGCAGAGGTGGTGGGCATGTGGAGGGGCAGAGGTGGTGGGGCATCGTGGAGGGGCAGAGAGGGGCACGTGGAGGAACAGAGGGGTGGGCCACGTGGAGATGCAGAGGGGAGGGGCACGTGGAGGGCAGAGAGGTGAGGCACGTGTAGGGGCAGAGGTGACAGGGCACGTGGAGGGGCACCTGCAGGAGCAGAGGGATGGGGCACGTGGAGGGGCAGAGGTGGTGGGGCACGTGGAGGGGTAGAGGTGATGGGGCACGTGGAGGAGCGGAGGTGGAGGGGCAGAGAGGGGCACGACGAGGGGCAGAGGTGGTGGGGCACCTGGAGGGGCAGAGGGGTGGGGTACGTCGAGGGGCAGGGCATGTCGAGTGGGAGAGGTGGTGGCGCACCTGGAGGGGCAGAGGCGTGGGGCACGACGAGGGGCAGAGGTGGTGGGGCACCTGGAGGGGCAGAAGTGGTGGGACACGTGGAAGGGCAGAGGTGGTGGGGCACGTCGAGGGGCAGAGGGGGGCACGTGGAGGGGCAGAGGTGATAGGGCACGTGGAGGGGCAGAGGTGGTGGGGCACGTCGAGGGGCAGAGAGGGGCACGTGGAATTGCAGAGGTGATGGGGCACGTCGAGGGGCAGAGGGGTTTGGGCACGTCGCGGGGCAGAGGTCGTGGGGCACGTCGAGGGGCAGAGAGGGGCACGTGGAGGGGCAGAGGTAATGGGGCACGTGGAGGGGTAGAGGTGATGGGGCACGTCGAGGGGCAGAGAGGTTGGGGCACGTCGAGGGGCAGAGGTGGTGGGGCACGTGGAGGGTAGGGCACGTGGAGGGGCAGAGGTAATGGGGAACGTGGAGGGGCAGAGGTGGTGGGACACCTAGAGGGGTAGAGGTGATGGGGCACGTGGAGGAGCGGAGGTGGTGGGGCACCTGGAGGGGCAGAGGCGTGGGGCACGACGAGGGGCAGAGGTGGTGGGGCACCTGGAGGGGCGGGGCGGTAGGGCACGCGGAGGGGCAGATGTGGTGGGGCATGTGGAGGGGCAGAAGTGGTGGGACACGTGGAGGGGTAGAGGTGGTGGGGCACGTCGCGGGGCAGAGGGGTAGGGGCACGTCGAGGGGCAGAGGTGGTGGGGCACGTGGAGGGTAGGGCACGTGGAGGGGCAGAGGTAATGGGGAACGTGGAGGGGCAGAGGTGGTGGGACACCTAGAGGGGTAGAGGTGATGGGGCACGTGGAGGAGCGGAGGTGGTGGGGCACCTGGAGGGGCAGAGGCGTGTGGCACGACGAGGGGCAGAGGTGGTGGGGCACCTGGAGGGGCGGGGCGGTAGGGCACGCGGAGGGGCAGATGTGGTGGGGCATGTGGAGGGGCAGAGGGGGGCACGTGGAGGGGCAGAGGTGATAGGGCACGTGGAGGGGCAGAGGTGGTGGGGCACGTCGAGGGGCAGAGAGGGGCACGTGGAGTTGCAGAGGTGATGGGGCACGTCGAGGGGCAGAGGGGTTTGGGCACGTCGCGGGGCAGAGGTCGTGGGGCACGTCGAGGGGCAGAGAGGGGCACGTGGAGGGGCAGAGGTAATGGGGCACGTGGAGGGGTAGAGGTGATGGGGCACGTCGAGGGGCAGAGAGGTTGGGGCACGTCGAGGGGCAGAGGTGGTGGGGCACGTGGAGGGTAGGGCACGTGGAGGGGCAGAGGTAATGGGGAACGTGGAGGGGCAGAGGTGGTGGGACACCTAGAGGGGTAGAGGTGATGGGGCACGTGGAGGAGCGGAGGTGGTGGGGCACCTGGAGGGGCAGAGGCGTGGGGCACGACGAGGGGCAGAGGTGGTGGGGCACCTGGAGGGGCGGGGCGGTAGGGCACGCGGAGGGGCAGATGTGGTGGGGCATGTGGAGGGGCAGAAGTGGTGGGACACTTGGAAGGGCAGAGGTGGTGGGGCACGTCGCGGGGCAGAGGGGTAGGGGCAGAGGGGGGCACGTGGAGGGGCAGAGGTGATAGGGCACGTGGAGGGGCACCTGGAGGGGCAGAGGGGTGGGACACGTGGAGGGACAGAGGTGGTGGGGCATGTCGAGGGGCAGAGGGGTGGGGCACGTGGAGGAAAAGAGGGGTGGGCCACGTGGAGATGCAGAGGGGTGGGGCACCTAGTGGGCAGAGAGGTGAGGTACGTGGAGGGGCAGAGGTGGTGGGGCACGTGGAGCGGCAGAAGTGGTGGAACACGTGGAAGGGCAGAGGTGGTGGGGCACGTCGAGGGGTCGAGGGGCAGAGAGGTAGGGGCACAGGGGGGCACGTGGAGGGGCACCTGGAGGGGCTGAGGTGGTGGGGCACGTAAGGGGCAGAGGTGGTGAGGCATGTCGCGGGGCACAGGGGTAGGGCACGTGGAGGGACAGAGGGGGGCACGTGGAGGAACAGAGGGGTGGGTCACGTGGAGATGCAGAAGGGTGGGGCACGTTGAGGGCAGAGAGGTGAGGCACGTGGAGGGGCGGAAGTGTGGGGCACGTGGAGGGACAAAAGGATGCGGGCACATGGAAGAACAGAGGTGGGGCATGTGGAGGGGCAAAGGGGGGGGGGGTGGGACGTGGAGGGAAAGGAGGGCGGGGCTTGTGTAAGGACAGAGGGGTGGGCACATGGAGGGACAGAGGGGGGACGTGGAAGGAGAGGGGTGGGTCACTTGGAGGGGTTGAGGGGGCCTCAATGATGGGACCTCAATCCAGTATCTACCATTACCAGTGAAGCATGGAGGCCAACGTTTCGGGAAAGGATGTCAGGGCTGTAAATTGAAAGAGCCCAACTCTGAAGGGCCGTTTGTGGCGCGTCATCCCTAATGGCGCGTTTACAATGGCGGGGTGAAATATTTTTAACACTGAGTCATGATAACGGCAAAAGCTCCGAGAAGTGCCTTAAAATATTCCCCGTGGTATTGGCCATCACAATTCCGTGTGACTCACGGGGCGCAGTGGTGGGCGTCTCTCCAACTCTTCTCTGGCCTATATTGTGAATAAGGGCCATTCGTCACCTCTTATATACCTGTAATGAGTGGCTCCGACACGGTAAAGACTTGAAGTTTGTTTATTAATAAATCTTCGGTACAGACTTGTTTCCCTCTCTGCGGATGTCCACCCGTTTGGGTGGCTGCGCTGCCCCGCGCCACGTGGCGCTCACCCGCTCACCAACACGCCGCTGGCTGACGGCGCGCTGGGGAGCGGCTGAGGGTCGAGCCGCAACGTGGCAGGTGAAGACGGCGGGGCAGCAGCGACAGGGAGCTCCTATTGATCTTCAACACCGACCCCAAACGTTGCTCTGCCCCCGGCTTATATTCGCTCCCCGGAGGCTAAGCCCCGCCTCTGGTCACGCCCCTCTTGGTACCTTCGGAAACGTTCGAGAGGCTTCCCTGGTGGATCTGCCCTATCACCTTTCACCCAGATGTAATACCCACTATAGAACACATGCCTGCGGAGGGGGCTGGTAGGAAATTTTTCCTACCAGTAATGCCCACTAGGTGCGCATTTGTTATATATCCGGGTGTCCGGATACACGTGGACAGACATCCACAGACATACACAATTAATCCCCTGCCTCCTGTTAATTAATCCCGGTTGGGCTTCGAGTCCACTACGTTTCCTACCAGTATAAACATATCCTGTATAAGGTAATACACCCCCCACAATAATACAGGTGATGGCGCTCTCTTATTACATACCTGCTATTAAATTTTGATTCAAAGCTTTCGTGACTGCAGTAATTCATATTCTTAGCTCTTTCGGTAAAGTCACGTTGAAGGGAAACAATAAAATAATAAAATATATATAACAACGTGACTTTACCGAAAGAGCTAAGAATATACCTGCTATTTTAAATGAAGTAACGATTGAGTTTTTATTTATTAATTATACATGGGGTAGATAGATGGGTAAGGCGGCAGAACAATATTTAAGCCTGTGCTGAATACAAATTATGATTAAATAACAGCCTTTATATTGGGCCCATTACATAATGAAATATTTCAGTATTTGTTAATCTGTAGGGGACCCGCAATGCCGATTTGTCCTTGTGTGGCACAAGGTGTTTCAGCAACGGTATACGTGAAAATCCGTCTGCCAGTAGAGGTCGTCGCTATTGTGGTCACTAAAATTAAGTACTGTAACTATGAAGTGAATTATAAATGGATGTGGCGACTTTAACACAGTAAAAGGGAATTCCACACTAGTCGTCTTTCCAAGGGAACTTAATTGTTTCAGCAACACAACTCAGTCGTAGGAAGCTGTTTCCAGTCAAGCCCCGTGCTCACGTCGCATCCCCTTTTATGCGTCCTCGTTCCTTCTGGAACCATCCAAACGGTTCTCATCACACCCTTTCCACCAACACTGTCGCTTGGTATCTTTCTCCGCCTCTGTCCCCTCTCCCTCGTTCCTCTTTCTCAACATATCTCCAAGTCAGCCATTCTCATGCTTCCTCCCCCTTGGCTGTCCTCCCAGCCGTCCTTTATTAATTATTTAAGGTGTCCTCGCACGACACAGGGAACGGAAGACGACGAAAGTAATCCAGGTTATCTGAAGCCACAAGAAGCAAGCTGCAGCAAGGCCCCCAATATTCAAATATGCTCAAAATGTCCCCCGAATATATTGTTATAAAAAAGTAATAATTGCTATGCTATGTAAATAAAAATAACAATTTGCTAAACCTTGGTCAAAATATCTGGACTTGTCTTCATATAAATCAATGCATAGATTTCTGTTTATATTATTGTGGTTATGGTTGTACTTTATTAATCCCTTATCTCAAACATTACATACAATGCAACAAGAAATGGTAAAAAAGTAAAAACAAAAATGTAGTACAATACACTATTAGACATTATTGTAAAAAATAAATAAAAAGTCCATCCCATGTGTTAGTGAATTTTAAAATATTTTTAGGCAGGAAATGGCAGAGAATTATTTTTCAAATTTAGATATTTTTCTGGGTTGGGACCCCTGGAAGATTTGGTCCCTCCCCCCCCATGTTGGCTCGATGGCTCCGGCCTTGAGCTGCAGGAACGGAGAGGTAGAGCAAGGGGATGAACATACCAGGCAGAGCACGAGGGGTACGACTGTGACCGTCCTTCACAGCACAGTACGTACGTGCTATGCAAACTGCAAAGGAGTTTACACTTTATTGACTTTCGATTTAAAGCTTTCGTGACTGCAAGGATTCATCTTCTTTGGCTCTTTCGGTAAAGTCACGTAGAATGAGAATTTTATTGTTTTATTTTATTCTCATTCTACGTGACTTTGCCGAAAGAACCAAAGGAGACGTTTATTGACATCAACCACCTAGCCCATCAACCGAGACCTCAACAACGTTCCTCGGCTCAAGTCCCGATCCCCATTCTGGGACCGCACTGAAGTCGCCATCCTAGAATCTAACCCAGAATAACTCTGTGGTGAACAGTGGCACAACGCGCACGTTCAGAATAAACGCCTCGTTCGAGAGACCCAAACATTACACCTGCTGGCTTTTGACTTTCCTCCTCAAAGACACTGGCGCTACATAAAACCGCATCAGAACTTCAACAGGCTGACGAGCACATCTCCGACATGAATGGAAAATTAAAGACGCAAGTCACGGCAAGTGTGACCGGCCATGCAAACCAAACTATGGACCATACAGCAAAACCACTGTAGAGTCTGCGCTCCTTCAATGGAGGAGGGACAGCAAAACGACACCAACTCTCCTAAAGCCCTCTCGTTGTGGCCATATGACCTCGACATTGGCATTTAACTCCTGCACATATTGCTGCCATCGTACGCTAAGATGCAACAGAAACGCACTTGTTGCAAGTTACACACTAAACAATACGATTATCGTTGACATACCGTACGATATTTTATCGCGGGGACCTTACAGTGGCCACCCAAGCTTAAATTCCACCCAACTTGCTTTGAGCGGCTTCTGGCCTAGGGAGCAGCTTCTGTATGCTGGAGCGGCATCTGGCTGAGCGAGCGACTCCTGTTTGAGCGAGCGACTCCTGTCTGAGCGAGCGACTTCTGTCTGAACGAGCGACTCCTGTCTGAGCGAGCGACTTCTGTCTGAGCGAGCGACTCCTGTCTGAGCGATCGACTCTGTCTGACCGTCGAGGCAGGCGCTGCCGGCTCAGCGGGGTGGGACTGCGCATGCGCGGCTGGCGCCCCGTCTGTCAAGATGGCGTTCACGCTCGCCGCCTTCTGCTACATGTTGGCCCTCCTGCTTACGGCCGCGCTCATCTTCTTCGCAATCTGGCATGTGAGTGACGCCAAACTCCGCGGCCTCCCTCCCCGAGCCAGCGCTCCGTGCCCGCGCGCCCCAGGGCCCCGGCCCGCGCGGTGGGCATTTTGTGGATGCGCGGGGCCCGGGTCTCGGATTTCCTAGCGCGGATAGGCGCCGCATCGCGTCGCCGCGTTTGACTTAGCGCCGCACGTGACCGGTTTAGCACCACGCGATTGGGTGGAGCTGCCAGCTGTAGCCAATGGCGAGCCGCGAAGAGGTCGCGATGCGTGTCCAGTCTCGGGAATGTAGCGGCGGTGCCCCCGAGACACGGGGACACAGGGAAATGAGGATGCTGGGACACAGACACAGAGACAAAGAGACATGGGGACACGGACATAGAGACATGGGGACATGGGGACACGGACATAGAGACATGGGGACATGGGGACACGGACATAGAGACATGGGGACATGGGGACACGGACATAGAGACATGGGGACATGGGGACACGGACATAGAGACATGGGGACACGGACATAGAGACATGGGGACACGGACATAGAGACATGGGGACACGGACATAGAGACATGGGGACACGGACATAGAGACATGGGGACACGGACATAGAGACATGGGGACACGGACATAGAGACATGGGGACACGGACACAGAGACAAAGAGACATGGGGACACGGACATAGAGACATGGGGACACGGACATAGAGACATGGGGACACGGACATAGAGACATGGGGACATGGGGACACGGACATAGAGACATGGGGACACGGACATAGAGACATGGGGACACGGACATAGAGACATGGGGACACGGACATAGAGACATGGGGACACGGACATAGAGACAAAGAGACATGGGGACACGGACATAGAGACATGGGGACACGGACACAGAGACAAAGAGACATGGGGACACGGACATAGAGACATGGGGACACGGACATAGAGACATGGGGACACGGACATAGAGACATGGGGACACGGACATAGAGACATGGGGACACGGACATAGAGACATGGGACACGGACATAGAGACATGGGGACACGGACATAGAGACATGGGGACACGGACATAGAGACAAAGAGACATGGGGACACGGACATAGAGACATGGGGACACGGACACAGAGACAAAGAGACATGGGGACACGGACATAGAGACATGGGGACACGGACATAGAGACATGGGGACACGGACATAGAGACATGGGGACACGGACATAGAGACATGGGGACATGGGGACACGGACATAGAGACATGGGGACACGGACATAGAGACATGGGGACACGGACATAGAGACATGGGGACACGGACATAGAGACATGGGGACACGGACATAGAGACAAAGAGACATGGGGACACGGACATAGAGACATGGGGACACGGACACAGAGACAAAGAGACATGGGGACACGGACATAGAGACATGGGGACACGGACATAGAGACATGGGGACACGGACATAGAGACATGGGGACATGGGGACACGGACATAGAGACATGGGGACATGGGGACACGGACATAGAGACATGGGGACACGGACATAGAGACATGGGGACACGGACATAGAGAAATGGGGACACAGACATAGAGACATGGGGACACGGACATAGAGACATGGGGACACGGACATAGAGACAAGGAGACATGGGGACACGGACATAGAGACATGGGGACACGGACAAAGAGACATGGGGACACGGACAAAGAGACATAGAGAGATGGGGACATGGACATAGAGACATGGGGACACGGACAAAGAGACATAGAGACATGGGGACACGGACAAAGAGACATAGAGACATGGGGACACGGACAAAGAGACATAGAGACATGGGGACACGGACATAGAGACATAGAGACATGGGGACACGGACATAGAGACAAGGAGACATGGGGACACGGACATAGAGACATGGGGACACGGACATAGAGACAAGGAGACATGGGGACACGTACATAGAGACATGGGGACACGGACATAAGAGACATGGGGACACGGACATAGAGACATGGGGACACGGATATAGAGACATGGGGACACGGACATAGAGACAAGGAGACATGGGGACACGAACACAGGGAGAAGGAGACGGAGACACGGACATAGAGACAAGGAGACATGGGGACACGGACATAGAGACAAGGGGATATGGGTACACGGACATAGAGACAAGGAGACATGGGGACACGGACACAGGGACAAGGAGACACAGGGCAAGGAGACGGGGACACGGACATAGAGACAAGGAGACGGGGACACGGACATAAAGACAAGGAGACATGGTGACACGGACATAGAGACATGGGGACACGGACATAGAGACAAGGAGATATGGGGACACAGACACAGGGACAAGGAGACATGGGGACATGGACGCAGAGACAAGGAGACATGGGGATACAGACACAGGGACAAGGAGACATGGGGACACAGGGACGAGGAGACATTGGGACACGGGGAAACAGACACTGGGACAAGGAGACAAGATACGGGGACACAGAAAAAAGGAGAAATTAGAACAAAGGGACACATTGACAGGAACATAGGGATTCAGTCTGGCTCTCTTAATGAATGAGTTAAGTCTGGAGCTCCCATCTCTCTCTGACCTGGTAAAGCGGCCATTCACTGACATTGCCAGTGCCAGAAGACTGTAGCAACACTTTTAAGTTGTATGAGCTGTGCTGAAACTACTCATACGTCAAGTTTACACATCGGTAGTACTATTGCACTAATGCCGTTGAAGCAGTGACATGTGTTCCCGCTCTCTTCTCAGATCATCGCCTTCGATGAACTCAAGACCGACTATAAGAACCCGATAGACCAATGCAACACGCTCAATCCGGTAAGACACACAGTCTCTTGCACATGCCTACATGAATAGCAACTTATAAGTTTGTGTTCAGGTTAGTTAAACTGGAAATTACTTTGGTTGAGGTGCGGTTGACTTGCTTCAATACCTTCGTTGAAATTTCGGAGTTTCGCAATGCTCCACTGCCCGATGAGATGTTCGAGTTGGAGGCCATCATGGCAGGCAGACACGGGCAGGTAGGGATCGTGGTGACGACTAACATTTATGACGTAGTCGTAACGTAACAAACGTCTCCGCACATAAGTACAAAGGAGGGGGCAACTGGAGCGAACAGGAGGCACAGGAAAGGAAACCACTCGAGGGAAGGAGAGAAAATAATGAAGGGTCGAAGGGCACGTGGTTGAAGGTTATTTTTAGCAGACTTGAAAGTAGAAAGAAGGGACCAGGGGGAGTCGCCTGGGGAGGGAGTTTTAAAGAGTGGGCGCGTAGTGGCGAATCGAGTGGCCACCAATGATGGAGCAGCGAAGGACACCAGAGTCCACGGAGCGGATGGAGCGGCTGGGACATGGGGGCGAATGTTGCAGAGGTATCGAGGGTGAACAATGCCGCGGATGGATTTGAATGCAAGACTGTGAAGTCCTGGTGATGAGGGGCTTAACGAGTCGTAAGGAGGTGCTTGTGCTCACCCGCCCCTGCCCCAGCTGGTGCTGCCCGAGTATTTCATCCACGCGCTCTTCTGCGTCATGTTTCTGTGCGCCACCGAGTGGCTCACGCTGGTGCTCAATGTGCCCCTCTTCTCCTACCACATCTGGAGGTGAGCACCTCCCTTGGGGTCTTCATGTCTCAACCCAAATTCCCAGCACCCTGAAAGATGCAACCCAAACAAAACCCTTATTCTCGTACATGTGCACCTGAGTTGTTAAACACAATGAGTTTTCTTCATGTGAAACTGAAAATCAAGGTCAGGCGCATCATCAGAGCACTGTAGTGACACGCTTTGCTTTGATCTATTACAATGTGCTTGAAGAACGCGATGATGACGCATGTGACGGACATGCTGTATCCCCCCCCCCCCCTTCTTGTATGCCTCTGATACCATCAATCACGTTAAGAAGCCGTTTATTTTGAAAGAAAAAATTATAATTTCTGTCAGTCTGGGCCACAGAGCCCCAAAACATATGGTGTCTACAAAACAATTGTTTTCATGTTGTCTTTAACACTAATGACATCACGGGCAATGCTAACACTCAGGAACACAAAGTTTGACACCATCTCCTCACTCTCACCACTAACAAGTCATGACGATACCAAACTTTGTCAGTGCGGCACAAACACTTGCGGAACGTTTATATTAATGAACATTGTGGGTGTTGTGGTTGGCTGATGGTCCATGGTTGATGGCTGCCGATGACAGGTACCTGCATCGGCCGGTGATGAGCGTGCCTGGCCTCTATGACCCCACCACCATCATGAACGCTGATGTCTTGGCCTACTGCCAGAAGGAGGGCTGGTGCAAGCTCGCCTTCTACCTGCTGTCCTTCTTCTACTACTTATACAGGTGCAGTCACCGTCCCTCCGCAGGGGCTTCACCCCTAGTGTCGTGAAGGTTGCAATTGTGTGCAGTTGCTGTGGTAGGTTGTGGTTGCTGAGGGTTTGTGGTTGCTGAGGGTTTGTGGTTGCTGAGGGTTTGTGGTTGCTGAGGTGTGTGGTTCATTTGGGCATGTGGTTGCTGATGAGCTGTGTGGTTGGTATGGTGTTTTGATGGGGTGGAGGGGTGTGCCTTGTGTTGTGCGGTTGGTGCGAGTTACCTACCACCCGTGTGTGCTCCATTTGCAGCATGATCTACGTGCTGGTGAGCTACTAGCATGGAGCACAGCTCCACGCCCAGCCTGGCCTCAAGAGATCCAGCACAGGGTGCAATCACTACAGCAAAAGCATGCAGACTGCCTACATGTGCCTAACCTGTACACACACTTCGCGTGCATACACATCCTCATATGTGCACAAATGACACGTGCATTCCGCGTGTGCACTTCCACAGATACAGCACATTCACGTGGATACAACACTTCACATGCACACACTTGTACCACCCGCCACTCCCGCAGCCTGGCGTCACATTCCCCAGACTGCCGATCCCCACTCCGTTGTCCAGAGGCCATTTACGTTTTACCTTTTTACGCAAACCCGTTCGTGAAGGCATACTCATTAATGTACAAACACAAAGCAGATTGTTTGTCAAGTTTAATTAGAAACTGCCTGTGAGGCTCGAGCCCGATGCAGTTCACACCAATGATCGGCCTCCAGTCACCCCCTTCCCCACCCCAGTGATGGACCCTAATAAGATGCCTCCACGTGCAAGATGACGCCGGCCTCTGGTGTTAACTTTAAGGTGGGAGGAGGGGTGGGTGTGGCGGGGCAGGGCGGGTAAGGAGAGGTGACACTGCAGCAGTAGCGGCATCGGGACTCCTCTAATGAAGCCACGGGGAGCTCTGTAACTGTACTGCACCTAATGCTCACGAACGTTGAATCGGAGTGGCTGCACAGAACCTGCGTGGGGGGTGGGGGACGGTATGCTGTGTGAATTGGTTTACTAAGAGCGCTTGGACTTAGACCCCTGTTTGGAGTTATTGTTTTAATTGTCAACCAATCAGTTGTGCAAAAAAAATCACAAATGTGTCAATTATGTAACCACCTCCCCACAGCACAGGCAGGGGGTGGTGAAATCTGCCAGCTGTGGTCAGGGCAGCCCACAGGTGCTGAACTGAGTGCAGGGATCAAACCGCATGGCTGCAGACCCCCCCCCCCCCCCGATGCAATTTGCTCTGTGAGGTTACAGAGGTTTACCTGGGGAAGCACTGTGTTTGTTGGTTAAGAGTGTGCGGTTCCCCCACGACTTACGTGTGCTTTGACCCCAACGATTTCGATTCTTGTTTTTGAGTAAATGTGTACAATTGCATGCCAATAAAACACAGTTTGATAAGCTGCGTAGTCTTATTCTAATGCCATGATGCACAGTCCACCGCAAGGTGGCCAGAGCTACACCTGCTCAGAACCAGCCTCCATCTCCAGTGGAGGAACAAGCACACATGAGGCAGCCACGCAATACAGCTTGGGCTGTTTCTCCCGCCACTTTTGGGATTTGTCAAGAGTTGGTTTAGCTTGGCGAAAGAATAAAAAAATGTGATCTGGTGTGATTTGTGAAATTTACAGGAACGTGCCTAACGTTGGTAGCGAGTGGCATCCATAGTGGGCCCTTGGCCCATTACTAATCTGCACCGAGTGGCAAGTTGGAAATACTGCCCAATGGCAATTCGCCGCACAAGCACACATGAGAATAGTACACAACAGCTCATTCCCACCTCGTGAACATCTCTCATTTAATCTCAGACCAAAGCAGCCCACAAATTAGTTTCCCTGCAACATTTATTCCAGTGAGAAAAGCCAGTGGTGGGTTCTGCTCCCTATCATGAATACAAAATGGGCTCGGGGAAAGCGTTAAGAAGCTGCCTTCACGTGCATCAGTCGGCCCAGGAGAAATCAAATGGCCATGCCGGCGACCTTCAGCCCTGGCTGAACGTGACCCAGGCAGTGCTTGCACGGACTTCATTCTTCGCCAAGCAGCGAGAATAGCACTCACTAATGGCTTGATTACCCGTAAAGCTTTTGGTCCCTTAAGGGTAAAAAGTTAGAAAACGTGCAGCAAGTTAGACAACAGACAGCGGCTGGTGCGGAAGGGGGAATGATGGGGCCCAGCACGAGACCTCTGGGAGGGGCCACTGAGCCCTGCTCTCCCACCCATCTCCCCTCTTGGTCAGCGGAAGAAGCACAACTTCTCCCGGAGCCACTCCTCTGTCAGCTCCTCCGTGTTACGGATCTCAAAGACCTGTGTGCACACACACACACAAGCATGTTATATCCTTCACATCACTAATCGACATGGTCCAACTTTCCTCCGGGGCCCTAACCCTTCACCGAGGGCCCCTCTGGGAAGATACCTTGGAGAGCTGTGCTGTCTGCACGAGCTTGTTCTTGCTGCCAGCGTACATCATCTGCTGCTCTGGGTTGCACCCTGCACACAAAAGACAAAGATCCCCCATATAGCCTTAACAGACTCTGCACACACCATAATAAAGGTTTTTGGGTTAGATCGCGTTTATTTATAAATGTGTCGTAACCCTCCACCACCCGACACGGCCAATCAGCAAAAAAAGTGTCACGTTGACAAAAAGACAAATAATTCACTACTTTAGCCCACCAGTGTGTTGAAGAGTGAATCCACATTTACAGTTTGAGTACGACGTTTCGCTGGTAAATACATCCAGCATCATCGGGCAATTTGCCAGAATGGTAAAGCCCTCGCTTGCTCCCGGTTTTATATAGAGCAGCAGGGTGACGTCATCACTTAACTCATTTATAAATAAACGCGATCTAACCCAAAAACCTTTATTATGAATAATATTGGTCGCGAAAGCCTATATGTTAATCTGCACACACCCATGACAACACAGACATGCAGTGGGGTGTATGACTATGTGGTGCGATTTGCATTGGTGTCCTAGTATGTGGTGGTTTACAGAATGTGTTCAGCTGTGTGAGTGTGAAGTATGTGTTCTACTTTGTAAAGTGTGTTTTGGGGTGTTACACTGCATGTATGCTGTGCAGTGTGTGGCACGTGTCCCACTGTATGGTCTGTTCCACTGTGTGGTGGTGTGTTGAGCTGTGTTCTCTGTGTATGTGGCTGCCATGCTCACCTTGGGGGCTGATGAAGATGAAGCATAGTGGGTAAGACACACGCCCGTCATCATGCTGATACTTGTAGCTGTAGAGAAGGTATGTGTCGCGACACAGTCAAGGATGACTCCTCTGTCAGTGTCACCAGCGAAATGAAATCAGGGTTCCCATTAGCAGCAGCCCTGCACCACTGAGTGAACGAGCGAGTGGGTGTATGAGATAGTATGGGTGAGTGAACAAGTGTGGGTCATAGAGTGGGGGTGTGTGTAGGTGAGTGTGAGAGTATGGGTGGGTGGTTGGGTGTGTGTGTGAGTGCGTGTAAATGTGCAATAATGGGAGACTGGGTGTGTGTTTATGAGAATATTGGTGATTGCGAATGGACATTAGTTGGTGTGGGAAAGCAGGTGTGTGAACGTGTCCTGCTGAGAGTTGTGATGCAGTGGTTCGCGCACTGCGCTAAGAACATAGAAACCTAAGTGCAATCCCTGGTCACAGTTAACACAGGTGGCAAATTATATCAGAACCATGCTTGTGCCTCCCCTAGCTTGACGCAGGCTTAAACACTCTTGTGCGATGTGTAAACATCTGCACAAGGGAGACAGGCGAACTGGCCTGGTGCTGGCCATATCACCCCCATGCAGGTCATGCTGGCCTTCATAGGTGCTCGCTAACAGCACGTGACCCAGCAGTCAGTAAGGCTTTGCTCTAGAAGAAGGATATCGAGGTTGCCGCTCTGGCAACTCCTCCCTCAGGTCTTCGGGTGTGATGTCCTGCAGACAGTGCAGCAGAGGAGAGGCTGTAAACCCCCCCCTCCCAGTGAAAAACCGTCGAGGCATCAAAGCGCAATTACAGGGATGGAGAGGGGTGCGGGGACACAGTGCGGGCTGTGTCGCTCACCTCATGCTCCTCATCCAGCACCACCAGCCTCCGCTCCTTGTCAATCTTCACTGGAACAAATCAACACACGTCGTCATCATCCACCCACGAATCAACACACCTTGTTATTATCCATCGACTCAGTAAAGAATCGAGACATCTCGTTATCACCTACTCAATAATCAACACAGATATCCACTCACACCGCTAATGAGTGCTAAGACAGCGACGATATCTCATTGCCGCCGCCGTGAGCGGTAACCGACATACGGAGGCGAGGCTGTGTGAGGTCCGATGGATGTGGGGTCAGGCGGGGGTCTCGTGAGATCCCTGGGTGGTGGGGGAGGGGTTGGAGATGGTGGGAGGGGGTGGCCAGCCACTAATGACCTCGCTTGACTGCGCTCGTTTGTCAATGGATTTGCTGTCGTGGTGACGGCGTTAGAGTCTAACAGCTCCCGGCGGCCATCCCTTCACAACTGCTCGCCACGCTCCATCATCCGACCACCGCGTTATCGCAAACATGCATCACCGCCATGTGGACTGGCGCACGAAGAGGTTATTGTTCAGCCGATTTACCACCACCACCCAGCCAGTGGCATTACCTCCAGCCAGCTTACAGCACCCAGCCAGCAGCACTCCCAACCTAACACAGGGAAGCAGGACAAGAAGACCCCCCTTCACGCGTTTCCCCAACAATCCTCACACTAACACCCTCTCCATTGGAATGATAGCAGACTTGAGCAGATGACAAAATGGTAGAAAGTGAGACAAGGAGACAAATTAACAGGCAGTCAGTAAGATACATGGGCAGACAGACAAAGGATATGCAGTGAGACAGACTCGACTGACAGTAAAGCAGTCAGACAGAGTGCCGCTCGGACAGGGAGGAGCTGGATGGGCATGGCACGTACTGATGATGGCGCCATTGGTGGTTTCCTTGCGAAAACGGAATTTCTGGATTTTCCCCTCCAGCTCAGGGTCCACATCGCAGACAACCAGGGATTCTGCCTGGACACACACACATACATACACACATTTACAGTCACGCACATGTATACCATAAAAAGACACAAATATTCCTGTATAGCCTTTAACAGACTTGGGGAAAGTGTTGTTCACGAGCACATATGAAGGCCGGCATGAGGTCAGCGGGTGGCAAACACCATGCCCCACACGCTTTTGTGGCAATATTTACACATCGCACCATTCATCATTTTAAGGCTTAATAGACCTAGGGGACGCCCAGGACCGGTTCAGATATTCGTCACCGATGTTGACCGTGAACGGGAATCGAACTCGGGTCGCTGGATTTGCAGCGCAGCGTGCTAACCACTGCACTATCTTTCCCCACTACGTAGAAAGCACGTGTACATCCTGTAATGCATACAAATACACAGATGTATACAGCCGGAATTCGCCTTTCAGTGATGGTTCCGTGATCACCGCACGTGTGCCAAGCTAGGTGCACTTTACTTTAAGGCTATCATGTGACGTGTTAAAGGCTCGCTGCTGATAGGCCACGGGACCAGGTGTTGTGAGTTGACTGGTAGATGAATCAACACCCGTGCTCCCTACCATGCCATGTATACGTACATAGGTGCACGCCGTAACAACCGTTATACAGACTGTGGGGACAATTCAGCGAGCAAAAATATACACTTACTATCTGAGATTTTTTAAAACTGTAAAATATGGCTAAATAAAACAGGACTGTATTAACAGCTAAGTATTGTACGAACAGTCAAGCGCCGTTGGATACGTACTGTGCGAAATAAGTTAAACATACCGTACACACTCTTTTGTATCTTTCGGTAAAGTCACGTAGGCATAAAATAAAATAAATCACGACGTTTCGGACGCAACACAAGTCGGGCGCTTGTGTTGCGTCCGAAACGTCGCGATTAATATTGTTTTATTTTCTAACTGCGTGACTTTACCGAAAGAACCAAAGCGTGTGGATTCCTGCAGTCACGAAAGCTTCACATCAAGATTATACCGTGTACACATCTGAATGAAAGAGATGATGAACACTGACCCTAACCGTCGGTGGTTATTTGTTGTGCAATTTTTTTCATAGTTTTCACTTGTGCCATTTTTACTGGCCACCGTACACTTACAGGCAACACACACAGCACCTATACCGCATATATTTATACACACATCCCACACACACACACACTGAAAGCTTTCCACACACTATACAAACATCCCATGTATTGCATGTTCAGGCTGTTGTTCGCGAGCATCTATGAAGGGCCGAACGGCGCACGGGGGGCGGTAGGGTGTATGGCCAGCACACCACGCTCAGCCGCCTTTGTCTCCCCAGTCCCCAGCCAAGTGCACCAGGGGTGATGTTTATATACAGCCGGTCACTCGCTCGCACCCGTGAGCAAAGCCGCGCCTCGCGTGACCAGTTAGCGGACTCGTGATCACAGATTCCGCCCCCCTCCTGCCGCTCATCACGCACGGCCGATCGAACACCGGTCACCTCCACCCAGTGGGGCGGCGGCGGTGACCATCCACGATGACCACTCAAGAGTGGTCATCGTGGATGGTCATCCCGTGGCGTGCGGCTACAACAGTACACACAATTAGGGCGTCCGCGCGACCGTAGCCACCACCACTTTGTACCGGGCTCCCTGCACCCCACCCCCTCATTCCCACCTCGCTCCCCGGGTGCCCTCAACTACCCCATAACGAGCCTCCCCGGGGCGCTGCATTAACCAAACAATCAGCACCCCCCTCCCCTGTGCCCCCCCTCCCCTGTGCCCCCCCTCCCCTGTGCCCCCCCTCCCCTGTGCCCCCCTCCCCTGTGCCCCCCTCCCCTGTGGCCCCCCTCCCCTGTGCCCCCCTCCCCTGTGCCCCCCCTCCCCTGTGCCCCCCCTCCCCTGTGCCCCCCCTCCCCTGTGCCCCCCCTCCCCTGTGCCCCCCCTCCCCTGTGCCCCCCCCTCCCCTGTGCCCCCCCTCCCTTGTGCCCCCCCCTCCCTTGTGCCCCCCCTCCCTTGTGCCCCCCCTCCCTTGTGCCCCCCACTGGCCCCCTCCCCCCGCGTCCCCCCTCACCATCACGAGTTTCGTGCCGTTGCCGCCGCTTCCTCCACACTCCTCATTCCCCTCCTGCGCATGCGCGGCGGATCAGCCCGGGATCCCCGAAGGCGCGCACCTCCTTTGATTGGCTGCTCTCGAAAAACCACTGGGCCAATCAGCGCGCGGTCACGAGGCGTAAACCATGACTCGAAGTTGCGCGCGACGCCTATAAAATACGGGTGACGTCACCACGTGTGGCGAATGACGTCACCATTCCGAGGCCCGGGGGGAGGGTTTGCGGAGGTCCCGCCCCTCGCCGGGGCTGTCCGGAAGGCGCCGCGGTGCAAGCCGGGAGTCTCTCACACGTGGTCGCCGTTTCCCCTGCAGCTGCTCGCACGTGCTCGCTTCTCCTCAGCAACCCGGGACTCACAATGGCAGACGCCAAGCACTTGAGTTTTCTCTTCGGTGAGTACCTTCCCCCCCGGGCGCTTCCCGCGAGGCTGCGTTAACACGGGCAGGAGGGGCCGCTCGAATTTGGGGACTCCCACCAACCCCCCCCCCTAATCCGACTATTTTTAGGGCTGCGATAGTGTCGTACTTAACTATCTCGGTCCACTCGGACTCAATTGAGTAGTACTGTATTGCGGTGCGCTGTATAAAAAAATCTACACTCGGAAGACAAAAGCGGTCGGGTGTGGATTTATGTTTTGCTTTAACCAAGACTTCGTGGGGAAACACCCGAAATCTGAGGCGGCTGCGGCGCACGTGGTCTTGGCCTTGGGGGATATCTTTAAGTTCCCACTTGGCTGCCCCCTGGCATTTGCTTTGGGGGTCCCCCCCCCATCCTGTTCCGTGTTCCCCACCTCCCGGATCCCCCTAGTGCCCCCCAACCTCGGTTCTCTACCCTGGCCCCCCTTGAAGTCCCGCTCGTGTCCGCCCTCCACCCACCCCACCCTCGGGTCCCACCACGTCTTCTTTCCCGAGTCCCTCCGTGAATCCCAGTCTTGAGTTTCTCCAGGGTCTCTCTCGAGTGCCCCCACCTCGTGGTCCCTCGGTGCTGCCCGGAGCGCCGTGACTGAGCCACGCTATGTGCCCCCCCCCAACCACCACCACCGTGTTCCCGCAGGCTGCGAGCTGACGGCAGCAAAAAAGGAGTTCGCGTTCGAGGAGGAGGAGGACCCGAATGTGGAGCATCACCTCCTGCTGCACACGGTACGGCGCACACCCACGCCGCCCGCCGGAGGCACCCCTCGACCGAAGCGAACTTGGCCAGAAACTTTCACTTTCATTTTAAAATCCCATGAGCTCTGAAGCTTTTTTTTGCTAAAGCTGAGGGTGCTTCGAGACACTCGAGGGGTCCCCGATTCATGAACAAAAATATATATCGGCGTGCTAAATATCGCGAATTCACAAACTGACTAATAGAGCTCGTAACTTTTTTTAATCACAAAATACTTGTTAAAAACCCGATCTATTTGGGTAATTATTTCGCACAACCGTTATGCTGTGGTAACCACGCGCACAATCACTGCTCAGCGACCCCAGCGGGGCGCAGCCTCACCGCCTGCGTGCCTTCTCCCCGCCCACCCTGCGCAGGTATGCCTGGGGGCAGGGGCTCCTGACGAGTTCCACTCGGTAAGCCTGGTGGCGCTGGACCATTCGGGGAAGATGACGACGGTGCCCGTGGCCACGCTCAAGCCCTCCGTGCAAGCCTCGGTACGGGCTTCTCCACGGCGGTGATGCGATAGTGTGTGGCTGGTGTGGTCATAGCGATGGTGGTGAGGTTATGTATTCCTGTGGTGCTGGTTTGGTCATGGTGGTGATGTGATATCCTGTGGTGTGGTCATAGATATGGTGAGGTGATGTATTATTGTAGTGCTAGTGTGGTGATGGCTATGGTGAGGCAATGTATTCCTGTGATCACCGACAAAGACTGATGTTTCAATGGGGTGTTAAATGCATTGTGATGTGTTTGATGATGTGTTGAGATATTGGTGATTGTGTGGGATGTGCATGATTATTTGTGGTGACGTATGTAATGATGATGATGTTTGTGATGTATGGTGGAATTTGATGCTGTGACCCTGGTGATGGTGTTGGTATGGTGGTGTTGGTGATGTTGATGTAAGGATGGTGATGATGCCGTGCTGCGTGTGATAATGTGCTTTGTCATATTGGTGATTATGATGTTGATGACACGATGGTGTTGCGACGTTGACGAGTTGGTGATGTGTGTGTGGTGTGGTGCAGCTGTCTCTCGCGGGGCTCGAGCTGGCCCCCCCCGTGCTCCTCCGCCTGACGGCAGGCGCGGGCCCCGTGCACATCTGTGGCCAGCACGTGCTCAGTGAGTACCCCAGCGCAGGGGCCCACATGGGTCCTCGTCGCACACGAGTCCTGCCACGGGGGGTGTCTTTTCTCTCGGTGGGGTGAGGGTGGTGAAGCTGCAGGTGTTAAGTAAGAAGCACAACTCCGTGGTGGCTTTGTGGAGCGAGAGCTGAGGGGTTTGGAGCTCGAGGCAGCCTGGTTTAACTCGTGAGCAACATGGACCCTAGCTTGGGCGACACGTGATGTGAATTGGCTGCCTCTTAACGAGCGGATGCTCACACGTCCTGCATGTTAATCCAACCCTGTCAACAGCAGCACCGCCGCTCCTTCGTATTCACATTGAAAACATTTGCCTCCTAGCCGCCTCTGCCCAGGGGGAGTTGTTCTTGAAATTTCAGCTGGGACTTTGGGCCAGCGACACGGAAACTACTTCTTCACGCGGCACACCACATCCAGTATACCCCTCGCCATAGCTTTGGGAGCGAGTCACATGTATGTATGTTGAACGTCTTTCGCACCATACGTAGCTAACCGATTAGTGCGAAGGACAACTAACCACAAACAGCAGTCCAAAATTTTTTTTTTACGATTTAGATTTAAAAGTGCATGGCTCCAGTGGCTTCCTAATATCCAGACGGCCGATGTGCATGAACGCGCGATGCAGTGACCGTCGTTGTCACCTGTGGCAGTTCACCAGCCACCAGGAATCGTTTCTCTTAAGAAATTACGCTGTGGGTGGAACAAGTCACTCGTTGCACCCCCTCAACATCATGTTTGTGGGAGTCCACAGTCCCCCACTATCCCCTTGTGGTGCTGAATGGTACTGGCCTTTAACTCAACTCATGTCTCCTCCCTCGTGTGTGCAGCCTCGGAGGAAATGTTCTCTGACATGGAGAGCGACGAGGAGGAGGAGGAACAGGCTGTGGTGCCGGCCAGGAAACGTGCTAACGAGGCGTCACCCACGGGGGGCACGCAGGTACCCCCCCCCCACCACCTCAAATTATTCCTGTCCTGGTTTACTCTGAAATCACTCTATGGCGACTGTTATGTACAACTCACAACTGACATCTCTGGGCATTTTTATCGTTACAGAAAAAGCTGAAGGTGCTTGGCAATGAAGGGTACGTATCATAACTTACACTTGTTGGGTCAGCGTTTTTTGGAATTTGGAGGGGTGGTGGGGGGCTGGGGCCTTAACGGGGGTCAGCTGCTCCTTGAGTTACTGCTGAAGAAAGAGTTGCATGTGCGTTTCCACTTCTCTTTCTCTCTCTCGTCCAGGCAAGACAAGATACTAGCGACCGTGACGCCAGCCAAGGTGAGGCCAAGGGGAAGGCATTGCTGGTGTTGTGTGCGCTTGTGTACCTGTTAGTTTGGTGAGTGGTAGTGCAGAGGTTAGCGCACTGATGCGAAACCCGGCGACCCGAGTTCAATTTCTGCTTGTGGCGAAAACCAGTGAGGATTATCTGGTCCTGGATCTTCCATAGTTCGACTCGGCTGCAAATGAGTACCCTGTGTGATGTGTAAAAACATTGCACTGGGGAAACAAAGGTGGCTGGGCGTGGTGCTGACCACCCACCCCCTGATGTGCTGTTCTGGCTTTTATAGGTGCTCACTAACAGAACTTGCCTCAGTCTATTCTTGGTTATTTCAGTAAAGTCACGTTGAAGGGAAACAATAAAATAATAAAAATATAAAACAATAAAATTCTCACGACGTTTCGACTGCAACACAAGCAATCATCATCAGGTGTGAAAACCACAGCAAGAAAATTTGAAAAGCGGTGGTTATTTTTAATGTTAGCACCACGGAGAGCGATTTGACAGCTCAGATGGACGAGTCCATCTATGTTAGGAAAAGAGGAGGGGGGAGACGAAAATAATGGATGCGGTCTGAAAGCCACTGTAAGCGTGAACAATAAATTAAGACCCGAAATGGTTTATCAAATCCTTCCAATGATTGCTAAGCCATAATCCATCTTCTCGTTTGAAATTGTCTGTGTTTGTATATGTGGATAGCCTCATGAACGAATCTCTCATAGTAGCCAGATGGCTTGCAAAGAACCTGTGTCTTGGAGAAGTCAATGTCATGTGAGCCTACTGAATTATAACAGTGAACTGCCACGGCTGAGGTGTTGGTCCTACCGTGTTTAAGGTCTGCTTTGTGGTCACGAATGCGGTCCAAGACGTGTCGTTTGGTTTCTCCAATGTAACTACTACCACAGAGGCAACTTAGTTTGTAGATGCCAGGGTACTGTATGTCCGGAATCGCATCTTTTACAGACGGGACCAGATCACGGATTTTATGTAATGTGTTGAATCGGACCTGGATCTTGTGTTTATTCAAAATTTTGGCGATTTTTTGTGATCCCTGCAATGTAGGGTAAAGTGATGGTTTTGAAAGGCTCCTCAAGAGGGTCCTTCTTCATCGTTGGAGTGATAGCTTTGCGGATTGTGTAGTCCGAGTAACCATTAGCCTTAAGAGCTTGGTGTATGTGTGTAAACCGCTGGGGAGACAAAGGTGGCTGGGTGTGGGGCTAGCCACACCAGCCGCTTGTGTGCCGTTTGCCTTCAGTTTGTGCTGGCTCGCAACACTTGCCCCAATCGTCGCCATGGATGGTTTGGGGGTGGGTCAGGGGTCCTTGTGCGGGTATGATTGTGTGCATGTGTGTTCGCCAAGGCTGAGCTGCTTTGCGCTTCTGGTTCTCTATAGAAGGCGGCGCCGAAGAACGGACAGAATGGGAGCATTCCATCCACCCCAAGCCAGACCAAGGTGTGGTGGAGCTCAGCAGGCTGTGTGTGGAGCCCCGTGTATGTGGTACTAGGTGTGTGTGGAGATGTTGAGGGGCTGTGCATGTTACATTCTTTGTAAGTAGCTGTGTGGATGTAAATGTATGTGCTAGGGTGTTGTAAATAGCCGGGCTTTCATATTTATTCTTGGGTGTATAGTTGCTAGTGTAGGTATGTGTTCCATGCTGAGTGTAGCTGTGTGTAATGTCTGCTTGGGCGCATGTAGCGGTAGGTGTGTTGTTTTGTGCTGTCTAATGTGTGTTTGGGTTTTTTTTGTTTACCCAGACTCCAGATTCTGCTGCCAAACCCAAAACCCCCAAGAGCCCCTTGCCAGTTGCTGATATCAAGGCCACACTGCAGCAGAAGGTCGAGAAGGTGACGTTTGCAAAAGCAGCCAATATTTGTGTGTGCTGTCCCTTCATTCCTGAGCGTGCGCTGTCACCAGGGTTAATAAGGTCAAGTTTTAATTTGATCTTGGCGTTAAATCACAAACGAGCAGCGTTGGGGAGGAGTGTCCCAGGACTGGATGGCGGCTGATACCGTCCTAATTGGCTGTCACCCTCAGGGGGTGAATTTGCCGAAGAACAAAGAAAAATTCTCCAACTTCATCAAGAGCAGCTTCAAGGTTGAGGATCCAAAGGTGAGAGCGCAAGTCTGTGACCTCGAGGGGACTTTAAAATTGAGTTAAGTGCAGGATGCAGCACATGTTTAAACATTTCTTGGTACTTTTGAGTTAACTTTTGTGACTGCAGGAATTCATATTCTTGGTTCTTTCGGTAAAGTTGCGTAGATTAAAAATAAAAGCAACACAAGCGGTCTTCATCAGGCCTGATGAAGACTACTTGTGTTGCGATCCAAACGTCTTGGTTTATTGCTTTAAATTTTATTTTCTATGTACGTGACTTTACCGAAAGAACTAAGAATATTTCTTGGTGCATTCGAATTCCAGGCACTGGAGCCTGGGGAGGGGGGGAAGAGTGCTGTGAGCTGGATGTGCTTGATTTCCCTGGCTTTCCATGGCCAAATAGACTAACGACCACAACACCATTCACTTTTACTCAGTGGCGCTTTAATCTGTTGTCTAGAAGGTCCTGTTACCTTTGGATGTTTGGTCATGTGCCATCAGTCTTCTTGGAGTAGTGACCAACCTATGTTTGACCCCTGCAGGTGCTGAGTGAGCTGTGGGCCTTCACCGAGACCCTGAAGGCAGCATAGGAGGACAAGCAAGTGGACCCACTACCATTTCAACGCAGTTTGAGCCATCTTGCTCCTAGGCCATGAACCTGCCAGTTACCCATCCGTCCTAGAAGAACCAATTTTGTGAAACATGCAAGCTCCAAACCAGAATCTGTGCGCTTTTCAAAACATTTTTGTGAATAAACATTAAAATTTTTGCTGTTCTGTTGGGCAGTGGTGTCATCTTCCAGTGTGGATGGTGCTATTAGCTGGGACCTATGAGCTGGGCTAGGAAAAGCTGGAATTGGGGATCAAACAGTCGGGTTCTCCCACCACTGCCATGGACCAGCAGCACAAACGCTACTAGTGAGTTGCTGATCTGAGGAAATGGCTGGCAAGTGTTTGATGGTAATAGTGTGTGATGAGTGAGTAATTGGATGTCATGAAAGGCTGATGGAGCTGCTGGTCGGGGCGCGCTCTGAATGCAGAACACGGGTGGCTGAGCAGGTTCCATCAATAATTAGTCTGAGGTATGCTCGCCTGAGTAATTTAAGTTTTTGCATTAAAACACCTTTGCCAGGGAGCAGCAGCCTGGCCACGGTGAACACTGCTTCTGTCAAACGACGGTTGGCACGTTGGAGTTGAAACGAGAACCTCTGGCCAGGACTGAATGATGGAACGCTTGCAGCGCTCGTACAAGGCCCACATTCTCTCAAGGCACTTGAGCGAACTGTCCACTCCCTGTACCTCCCAAGCATCTGATATCCCCTTTGCTCACTTGTGCAAATGTGGTGGACAATTTCGACACAGCTGCCCACTCGTACCTAGAGAGATGACATGGCCCAGCTCGTTACAGATTGAAATCCGGCGGGAGGCCACCCTGGTTATTGCTGTGGAAGTATTAAGAAAATGCACAGTCTGCTTTGCAGTGGGCAATAAAAGATCCTGTGATGTCATTTAAAAAAGGCCGTTGTGTGCAGGCCTCGCGGTACAAATTTGAAAAATTGCCCCCAAACTCCATTGGGGTTATATGGCAATATCTCCCCTTCCTGTGAAGCTACTGTAGATTGAAGCTGTGTCATCGTGCATGATGGCCGCGCACGATAAGAATGGCGCTTATCAAATACTCCATTATTTTATGGAAATATTTCTTAAATTAATATCCAGGAACTCTAGACTGGATGCCAAACTTCACACTGTAAAACGTTGATATTCCTCCGTCTAACGTCATCGCTTACTTAACCTACCCATCAACTAAGACCTCAACAGTATACCTCGCCGTCGACTCGGGTCCTGATACCCATTGTGCAATCGCCCTGCCACCGGAATAGAATCTCGCCCAGATCTGGAAGAACGGTGAACGCTGACGTCTAGAGTAAACGCCTCATTTGAGCACCAACCACCACACCTGGCATTGACAAATCCTCGAACATACTGGTGGAACATCAACTGGCCTTTGTGCCACATCTTCATAAATGGAAAATTAAAGACAAACCAGTGTGACTGGCCATGCAACTCAAACTATGGACCATACACCTTGACCTACTGTAGTCTGTGCTCCAATGGAGGTTAAGCAAAACATTACACAAACTTCTCTGCTGAAGCCATCTCGTCATGGATAGCAGACCTCGACATTGGCACTCAGCTCCTGAACATATTTCGCCTGCTACCGTACGCAAGGATAGAATCGCTCAGCAGTCTCCTCACTGCTGGCACTACGGGAGAGGCGATTGAGGGACGTTACGAAGGTTTCTCCATCGTCCGAATGTGCCGGCGAACACTGCCACTTGTGTGCACCGTTAATATTTCATGGCACGTCCCCTCAATTCTGAACAAGTTTGTGCAGTGACAGATCGGGGACTTGTTGACGTAACAGCCTCAAACAGCCCCTGTTAAATAATAAAATTGCTTCCTGCTGCGAAAGTGGTGTTCAGACCTGGGTGTTTGGCGCGCTCACATCGCCGGCCGTAGGTTGGCCGCCAAATGAGTTGTTCCAAATGCGTGCGGGCACCTGAGCCAGGATCGCTCTCCCAGCGCGGTCGGGGACGAGGAACCCACGGGCACCGCTGCCTCGACGCTCTGAAATCCCCACGTGGTGACACCTCTTGAGTCGCTATCCCGGCTTGCGTTCCAGCCGGCCAGCCTCTCCGGGTTGACAATCCACGGACCTCCGCACCCAGCACACCACGTCCAGTATACCACTCACTATGGCCTTGGTTACGAGCCGCGTGTCACCTACTCCAGTTTACCAGTGACCCAGAATATATAAAATGAGATTTATTTCTGAATTACCATGTTAGCCAGCCCAACGCCATCATCGCTATAGCAACACCACCAATAGCACAAACACTAATATCACAATGTATGCATGAATGTTGACCATCTTTCGCACACAAAAAGCAGTTCTAAAGTAGTTTTAAATCTAGATTTAAAAGTGCATAGCTCCAGTGGCTTCTGAATATGAGAAGGGAGGGCGTTCCAGACGGCCACAGACACGCGATGCAGTGACCGTCTTTTTGATGGTTGACCAAAAGCTGCTGCAAGGTGACCGGAGTGGAGTGATGGTTTATAGTCCTTGACGTGATCAGCAAGGTATTGTGGTAAGCACTTGGTGTGTAATGAGTGCGACCTTATAATGTATTCGTTCAGCAACCTGAAGCCAATGCAGGCTCAACGAGCACCGGACTGACATGGGTCGGATCTTGCAGTACCCCGTTGAAGATGCCAAATAATATTGTCCACGATGCAGCTTGCTCGTGTTTTTTTTTGCTTCCCGTAAGTAGAGAGTTGCAATAAAAGAGCCTTGTCGATACCACGCTGCATGCCACCGTGGTGTTGGCTATGTCACGACTCAATAGTGGCCGAATTTGTGTCGGCGAGCGCTGATATGGAAATTGCAGGACCCGACTATATTTTGCACTTGGTGATTCAAACGATATTCTGGTCGAGTACGGTGCCGAGGTTGTTTAGACGAGGGGAAAACTGAATCCTGGAGTCTGCAACCACCACACCTGATCCTCCCACAAACGCCATCAACACCACGCATATCGCGATGCGTAGATTTGTCCATTAAATTTAAGCTTACCCTCGCCACCGTAACCACGCTGTCCACTCATGGCCATAGCTCCTCCAACGTCTCACCAATCTACACCACCTCCACCACGGCAGCGAGCTCCAAGCTCCAGCACGGCCTCAACTGCTGTCAACACCGCCACTGGGCCACCCTGCGCCCTCCCGACCCCTCCCCAGTGACCACCCATACCAAGATTACAGACACCACACGACCACCTGCTGTTAACGCAAGTAATTCGCGTTAACACCACTCTCCCAAGCTAACCCAGACTTTGGAGTTAGGGTTCGAGACCCGGTCTGGGGTCTGGTCGCCTCCTGCACCCCCGAATGAGGGGTGGGGGGGCTCATAAGGAGACGGGACACGGTGACCCAGGCAGAGCGCGCCATTTATTTAAGTGGGATTCAGACAGCGAGGATGCACTTCGGTCAAACGAGGCAAATGCACAAGGGGGGGGGGGCCCAGAACCACGGGGCCCCTCACCGCTCTCCCTGGAGGGGGCCCCTCACCGCTCTCCCTGGAGGGGGCCCCTCACCGCTCTCCCTGGAGGGGGCCCCTCACCGCTCTCCCTGGAGGGGGCCCCTCACCGCTCTCCCTGGAGGGGGCCCCTCACCGCTCTCCCTGGAGGGGGCCCCTCACCGCTCTCCCTGGAGGGGGCCCCTCACCGCTCTCCCTGGAGGGGGCCCCTCACCGCTCTCCCTGGAGGGGGCCCCTCACCGCTCTCCCTGGAGGGGGCCCCTCACCGCTCTCCCTGGAGGGGGCCCCTCACCGCTCTCCCTAGAGGGGGCCCCTCACCACTCTCCCTGGAGGGGGCCCCTCACCGCTCTCCCTGGAGGGGGCCCCTCACCGCTCTCCCTGGAGGGGACCGCTCACCGCTCTCCCTGGAGGGGGCCCCTCACCGCTCTCCCTGGAGGGGGCCTCCTCACACGCGCCCCATTACGAGCGAGGGTCGCATTCCGATAACGAGCAGGAAGAGAACGTGGGGTCTACACCCCCCTCCACCCCACATACACACAGACCCCTATACCCCCCCCCCCCCCCGATTCACAGACCCCTATACCCCCCCCCCCCACATACACACAGGCCCCTATACCCCCCTCCACCCACATATACACAGGCCCCTATACCCCGCCCCCCCACATACACACAGACCCCTATACCCCCCCCCCCCACATACACACAGGCCCCTATACCCCCTCCACCCCACATACACACAGGCCCCTATACCCCTCCCCCCACATACACACAGGCCCCTATACCCCCCTCCACCCCACATACACACAGACCTCTATACCGCTCCCCCCCCATACACACAGGCCCCTATACCCCCCCCCCCATACACACAGGCCCCTATACCCCCCTCCACCCCACATACACACAGACCTCTATACCCCTCCCCCCCCATACACACAGGCCCCTATACCCCCCTCCACCCACATACACACAGACCCCTATACCCCCCTCCACCCCACATACACACAGACCCCTATACCCCCCTCCACCCCACATACACACAGGCCCCTATACCCCCCCCACATACACACAGACCCCTATACTCCCCCCCCCCACATACACAGACCCCTATACCCCCCCACCCACATACACACAGACCCCTATAGCCCCAACAACAACCGCGGTTGGCCACTAAATGGCGGTGACGTAATCGCGGTGCTTGTGCCAGGCTCGGTGCACCACCCCCCCCCCCCCCTCTATACACACACACACCCCCCCCTGTAGCCCCAGCGACTTGCATGGCGCACGCATGGCACTCACTGGTCCTTGGAACTGCACGAGACGTATGGCTCAGTAGTGGACACCGCCGTGGGACAGAGACGCCCTCAATCCGGCGGGCGGAGAGTGGGGGCGACCGTCGAAAGTCACTCGGCATGAGAGGAGGCGGCGTGCAGAGGGCGCGCGTGGTGCGGGCGTCAATGTTGTTGGGAGTGTGGCGAGTGCGGCGCGCGTGGTGTTGTAGAGCGGCGCGCGTTGCGGCACGGCGAGCGTGGCGGGGGGCGGCTGTGATGTGTGGCGAGTGGCGTCAGCGAGCGGCGCGTCGTGGAGCAGGCAGCGTGGTGGTGGGTGGGGGACAGGAGCCGTGACCCTGACCCTGCTGCCCTGACACTTCACCCCCTGGCATCACCCGAGCACTTAATCCTTGTCCTCACCTCCCACCCCATCTCGCGTCTCTCTCCCTTACCTCCCCCACCACCCTCACACCGCCCCTCAGCTCCACTCCTCACCCGTCGCCCTCACCACCGCACTCCATTTGCTTCACATCACCTCCACGGATCACCTCCAACCCCCTCACCCCACCTCTCACACCTCGCACTGCCGGGAGTCGGCTCCGAGACCGCGGGGCGCGGCGAGGCCATTGGGCAGCACGAGGCGGGCCCGCTCGGCCGCCGCGGCCTCCCCGGGCAGCTTGAAGTCCACGTAGTACTCCATGGGGATACCGGGCGGCTCGGCGGCCACGACGCTGCCGCGGAGGCCGCTCCCGAGGCCGGCCACCAGCCCCGCGCGGGCCCAGCCGGCCCGCTCGGGACCGGGGATCTGCGCCTCCTGCAGCCTGCGTAGCGTGTCGGGGTAGCGGCGCCAGGACGCGTACGTGACGAGCAAGATGAGGCCCACGGAGAGGAGCAGCGCGGCGCAGCCGGTCACCACCTTGTGGAGGGGCAGCCGCTCCATGTCGGCCTCCGAGCCGGGGGTGGCGCTCGAAGCCGCCGGCGGCACTGGGGGCTCCGGTGGCGAAGGTGGCCGAGGGGGCGCCCGTAGCACGGAGCGGTTGCTCTCGGCCCCAACTCCTCCTCCTCCATCCGGGGCCGTGGGTGGAACGCGAGGCCGCGCGGGCGGCTCGGGCCGCGCGCTGCACACGGCGCGGCCGTGCATGGCGTCCAGCACGGTCGTGCCCTCCAGCTGCTGCGGGGACGTGCACTTCACGGAGCCCTCCCATTGGCCCCGCGTCTCCCACAGCCACTCGGCCAGGGGGCACAGGGGCCGCTCGCACTCCCAGCGGTTCCCCGCGGCCGTGATCGTGCGCAGGGAGCGCAGGGTGGCGAGAGCCTCGCCGCCGAGGACGCGCAGGCGGTTCGAGTCCAGGTGCAGGGTCTGCAGGTTGGGCACCCCGGCCAGCGTGTCGGCGCTCAGCGCCACGAGCTCGTTTCCGGCCAGGTCGAGCTTGCGCAGGCTGCTCCACACCCAGGGCGGCTCTCCGCGGACCACCTCGGCCACGCGGTTCCACTGCGCGTACAGCATCTGCAGGCCCAGCAGCCGCGAGAAGAGCGCCAGGTTGAGGCGCACCAGCCGGTTATTCTCCAGATGCAGCTCGGCAAGGCGCGGGAGGCCCGCGAACGTGCGGCGCGACACGCTGCGCAGGCGGTTGTGGCCCAGGTCCAGGAACTCGAGGCTGCGACAGTCGCGGAAGAGCAGCGGCGGTAGAGCGCGCAGGGCATTGGCGCGCAGATGCAGGGTCTGCAGTTTCCGCAGGGCGCCGAAGAGGCGCGGCTCCAGGCGCCGCAGCCGGTTGTAGGAGAGGTCCAAGTTGCGCAGGTTGGGCACGGCCGAGAAGGTGGAGTTGGAGAGGCGCGACACGCGGTTGGAGGTCAGGATCAGCTCCTTGAGCTTGCGGATCCCGCGGAAGGCGTCGGCGGCCACGGGCCCCACGTGATTGTGGTCCAGGTAGAGCCAGGTGAGGTGGCGGAACCGCGCAAAGGCCCCGTCTCCCAGCTCGCGCAGGGCGTTGTAGCGCAGCGAGAGGCCGTGCGCCCGCGGGGACGCGTCGGCGGGGAGGTCGCTCAGACCCAGTGACTCGCAGTAGACGATGCGGCCGTCGCAGCGGCACCCGGGCGGGCACGCAGGGCGCGCGGGGCCCCGCGCCGAAGTGCAGAGCGCCGCACCCAGCAGCGCGCCCAGCCACAGGGGCGGCCCCGTGCCGCGCCCCATGGCGGAGGCCCTCAGCGGCTCCAGCTCGGGCCCATGGCTGCCCCTCCCTTGCTCGCCTCACTGCCCCCCGAGGGCCCTGCACGGCAGTTGCATCGGATCCACGTCAAAGCGGAAGTTGCCAAGCGTTCAGCGACCATAAAAGGCCTCCTTCCCCTAAGCTACACGAATGTCACCACGAGGCAGGTCCCCGAGTATCACGCCGAGGAACTGCTCTGCACAGGATAGAGACCTGGGATAGCTGCTAGGTCTGCACAGCATCCTAGTCCCGATGGATCGCTCGACATGGAAACCCAAAACAAGTCATTAAATTCTAGACACACCACGTGGCGGAGTTGGTGACACCGTTGCACGGGGCAGGGCCAGGAGACGTCCGGTGAAGCAATGGCACGAGTCCGTGAAGTGTGGCGTGACAGATTGTGACAAGTATGATTGTCGTGCTCAGACACGATGGTTACCCTGGGCATGTGAGAGGGCGTGTGTTTGCGCATATCAGGAGTTATGGACCAATAAATGGTGAAACGTTTGACACTTGCAATTGGTTGTTTATTGTGTGGAATTGCTTACAATTGGCTCTATTAGGATTGTTCATGTGTAAGGGTTGTGGAAGGACACGTTGGGGTGGCGTCAGGGCACGTAGGTACACCATGAGTAAGTAATGAAAGGTAGCTGGGGACACGGCTGTGAAGGAAAAAGCAGGGGATTGACTAAAGGACTGGGGGAGAGATTTCGCGTGAGAGCAAGAGGGGAGTGGGGAAGTGAGGGAGTCGAGAAAGAGGGCAAGGGACGGGATTGGCGGAGAGGAGGAGGAGATTAGAAGAACCTGCAGGAAGGTTCTAATATTATCGAGGGGAGATTGTCGAGTGTCGGCATGAGAACCGAGTGATTAGACGAGGGAGGGGTGATGGTACTCTCAGCGTTGGATCCCTGTGAACCCAGGCAAGAGATTCCAAAGCGGAGCAGTGAGCGGGAAGAAAGAGGGGAGTGTCGTGACCTTCAGTGGGGTGGGCGAGTGAGTGGGTGGCTGAATGGGCGAGTCGTTAAGGGAGTGGGTGAGTGTGTGGTTGAGTGGATGGATGGATGAATGAGGGTGTTGTTGTGACTAGCAGTGTGTGTTGGTGGTGGTTGAACACTGCGTGAGGCTGGCTGGAGCACAAATCGACAACAACAAGCATGACCCCACCATCAAGACTTTCGCCTCGCACGCGATTTTAGCCGGAATGCATCAGCATGCAGCTTCCGTCACGTGATCCTAATTACCGCCAGACACCGCCACGTGACTAATCACAGCCTTTAATCAGCCGCCGTCACGTGACGTTAACCGCCGCGTCGGACACCACCGGCACGTGACTAATTACCGCCAGACGCTGCGGCACGTGACACTAATCACCACGAGATGCGCAAGGTGGTGGCGGTGGGGGCGGGGGAGCGAGCCCCCGCCCCCACCGCCCTCTCCGCACGCGATGTTTGAGCAGAATTCAATTGATTTGAGAATTGAATTCCAGGAATGAGACAAATGTTCCGGAGCCGCCATAAACGAGCCAAATGTAGACGGATGTGGCGGTGGTGGAGTACGTGGTGGGGAGGGGAGAAGGGGGCGGGGGGAGACGGAGGGGTGGGGCCCCCTCCCTCCTGGGCGCGGAGCCAGGGGGGTTGTTTTAGATCAGAGCTCAGTCTGCGTAGGAGGTGGGGTATTGGGGGGGCAGGAGGAGTGGTAAACGGTGCTGGTGGGGGGCGTCCCCGTTTCCACGATGCCGTGATGCAGGCGGTGTTGACAGGGGGTCCCGCAATTTTTAGGTAGGGCCCCACAGCACAAACATTCAATGTAAAGGTGTCTGCTAAATACCACTATTGTACACCAGTGTTTGGGGTCTCACGGGGGTGATTGCTCCCCACCCCTCCCCCACCTTGGATTCGTCACTGGCTGCAGTGGTGGGATGGTGGTGATTGTGTTGAGGTGGTAGCGTTGTTAGGGTTGTGGTGGCGGTATTGGGGTTGGCGGTGGTATCGTTGATATTGTGGTGGCGATGGAGATAATCTGGTTTGCAATGGTGGTGTTGCCATTGTGGTGGTAGTGTTGAGATGGTGGTGGCGGTGTGCTCATGGTGGGTATGGAGTTCGGAGTGGGCTGTTATTCACGTGACAACACGAATACTGGGAGGGGTCCAGTCGTCCCATCGTCCTTCGTTTAAACACGACGTTGAGTCCACCCGTAAGAGAAATCACCCGGGTTTCACTCCCGGTGTCAATACTCAGCGATTCTCACTCCACCTCCCTTGCCCACACCGCCTCACCTCTCCACCATGCTCGTCCCTCGAACGCCGCTGGGAAGGTCTAGGGTGACAGGAGAAGGGGGATAAAGTGGACCCCTGTAAAACCCACGACCCCCATCGAGTTTGAGATATCCCCGTTTAATTCCAGGGTCCAGATCCGACCCTTCTGCACAAGCATTCCTCTTCGTTACCGCTTGGGTCTCAACACGACCATGGATAATGACCTAGGTTCCCCCAGAACCTGGGCTCCCCGGACCGATAGACCCGAAAACCACAGATCCTGAGACCCCAGACCCCTAAACGCGGATATTCCCAGACGCTAAGACTCTGGTGCCCCCACAAAGCTGACACCCGGGACCCACAGACCCCAAGACTCCCCCCCCTCCCCAAACCCTAGAACCTAAAGACCGCTGATCCTGAAACCCGGGTCCCTCCCAGACACTGATACCCCGATGCACCCAAATCCAGAGACCGTCAGACACTGGAACCCGAGACCCCCAGTGGCTGGGTCCCGTTAACCCCAGACTGTGGGACTCGGGGCTACCAGAACCTGAGACGCTGAAGCCATCAAGTCCCGGGCCCCCGGATCTTCGGACATTGAGACTCTGAGCTCCCGGGATCCTGAGACCTGGGGGGGGGGGGGGGGGGTGAAGAGGCGCCCGCTCACCTCGCGAGGGCCGCCCGGGCTCCCGTGCGCGGCGCGCCGCCCTCCATCGCGCACGTCTCCTCCTCCCCGAACCTTCCTCGTCCCGGCGAAATTGCGAACGGATCAGGACCTGGGCCGGTGAAGGAATGGAGAAACAAATGCACGACTCAGCAAATAAATAACGGCAATGAAGGAATGAATAAGATAATCAGGGAGCCGGCTGCGGATTGAATTCGTGGAGCGGACTCTTCCCGCCCGCAAGCCCAGACGCCCAACGCTCGTGTGGAGGCGCTCACAGCGAGAGCAGGGAGATTGGGAGAAAGAGAGGGAGGGGAGATGGGGAGGGCGAGCGGGAGGGAGGGATGGAGGAAGGAGAGCCGCGAGAGGGAGAGAGCGCGGGAGATGGCGGAGAGATGAGAGATGGGGGGAAAGAGGGGGAGACGGAGGAGAGAGGGAGAGAGGCAGAGAACAGGGAGGGTGGGAATAGAGGGGGAGGGAGAGAGCTATGGGGAGGACGCGTTCGAGAGAGAGTGATGGAGAGGGAGGGGGGAGAGAGAGGGGGGAGACGGATGGTGGAGGGAGGGAGGCGGCTCGTTTATTAAACTTCACGCGTAAAGAGGCAAAACCACGGCGCGGGAAACGCGGCCAGGGGGACGGGAGGGATGTGGGGGGTGGGATGGAGGGATGGGGGGTGCAGCAGGGCTTTCCCGCGATTTGTGGGCACCTGCCGTTAAGGGCCACTCAGAAATCAACTCAGAGATTACCCTTGCAGCTAACCATCACGGAATGAGCCACCCTCCACAATCACAACAACACCTGCACTCATCACTGTGGAGCGGGAGGGGGTGATTGGGATGCTTCGGTGTGTGAATGAGGGATGTGATGGTGGATGAGGGGTGCTGTGGTGTGTGAGTGAGGGATGGTGAGCAGCGCACTGGACTTGTAATCTAGAGGTCGTTGGTTCGATTCCGTCTCTCGGCGCGGCAATTGAAACAATCGTGCACTTTTCTTAAATCCTCCCCCCCCCCCGCCTCTGTTATTTAAACTGAACAATTTTTTTTTTATTTACCAGGTAAGGCCCACTGAGCTATAGCTCTATTTCAGACCTGGCAACAAATTATAGCTCAACGAAGTGGCTTATCATGATGTAATGTATAGCAGCCAAATACTCTAAACGCACTGTTCACTGATTGCTGTCCACCCAGCAATGTAAATGGGTTCACCGTAGTTGGTCGAGCGGCAGGTCGCGTGTGGTGGGGCAAAGTGTGGGTACGCTCACCTCTTTAAACACAAATGGCCAGCGTGTAAGAGTAGGCCAGATTCCCTCGAGCGAACGGCTCTCTAGAGCTGCCTCCAATGGAGGCCTCTTCCGCCAGCTGTGACGCGAGTAAGACATTGCAGGGCTGCGCCTGTACCATTTACCTGTATAACGAGGGCAAGTGTCCCATGCGCTCATTGAAGCTGCCTTGCCGTTTGAACGTTCGCGCGTGCCAATGGGTGCTTACATTCACCACGAACATTCCCCTGGAAACGATTTCCGGTAACCGATCCTTAAAACCAAGACCATAGGATGGACTTTTTCTTTATTTTTTTACAATAATGTCCAATAGTGTATTGTTATTACATTGCTCCGTTTTTTTATTTTTTACCTTTTCTTGTTTCATTGTATGTAATGGCAGAGATTAGGGATTAATAAAGTACAACCATAACCACAATCATATAAACATAAATATATTTTATAGCAATATATTGGGGGGTACATTTTGAGCATATTTGAATATTGGAGGGGATGTGTCCACCCCAATAATTATTATAATTACGGCCTTGCTTAAAATGGTTATTGGTTCACCGATTGTGGCATTTAACGAGCCTGGTCTAGATACCGGTAGTTATCGCCTGTTACCTTGGGTAACGGGGACTAGCTATGCCTATCAGGGAGTAACTCAGATGAACACGGGTAACGGGGTAACCATGGGTGACGGAGGGTAAGGACCCGTCAAGTGGAGTCGTCGTTGCCGTGGCGACGCCTCTGCGTTAATTGCGTGAGTGGCGTTGACCCAGATGAATGCATGAGTGCGGCGAGAGTACAGACGGGAGCGTACAGAGGTGACAGCACAGACAAGAGAGTGCAGATAAGAACGTCCTGATGGGATAGTGCCTCTGTATAGATGAGAGTACAGAGACGGGAGAATACAGAAGAGAGAGTATTGTACAGGGTGGAGAGTACAGAGGGCAGAGTACTGGCAGTATAGGCTATAGACTGCACAGGAGACAAGGCAGTGGGCCGAGAATATATGAGAATACGGAGTGGAGAGTGCAGGGGAGACTACACTGGAGAGCGCGGAGAAGAGAGGAGTGGAGGAGGAGAGAGTGGGAAGAGGGCGCTGGAGAGATGAGGAGCTATGAGGTGAGGGTGAATGGGAGGAGGGGTGGGCATACGCCCGGAGGCTCTCGATGAAACCTCGGGCGAGGAAAAAGAGCAGCGGATAAATAAATGAGACAGCGGGGACCCCGCCCCTCGCCTCTCCCGCAGTGGAGCGGGAGGGGGGGCGCTGCTTCTGCTCTGCTGCTCCTACAGACTGAACACGGCCGCTCCCCCCATTTCCGCCTTTCCGTCTTTGTCTCTCCCAGCCTCACTGTCAATTATGAATGAAAGGGGCCCGACCCCATCACCACGCGAGCGTCGCCCGCGGCACGAGATGAACCTCGCCCCCCCCCTCCTCCCCACCGCGAGTTGGAGCCCAAACTCCGGCCCCTTCCCAACCTCCTACCGAGCCTCACGAGGCGCCAAGCGGGACCACGGGATCCAGGCTCGGATCTGAGCCGGGGCCGACTCCTCTCCATCCATCTATCCCCATCTCTCCTCTCCCCCATCTCTCATCTCCCCCATCTCTCCGCATCTCCCTCCCTCAACCTGCCATCTCCGATCCATCACCTCTCTCTCAACTGCCAACCTCTCTCCACATCGTCTGTCTCCCCTCCATCTCCCCATTCTCACCTCTGCTCTATCTCCATCTCTCTTCTTTTCACATCTCTCTCCCCTCCATGTCTCCTCTCTCTGATTTAGCTCATCTCCCTCCTCTCCCCCTGTTTTGCCAGGCGATTGAATCAGCGGGCGCAGTAAATTATTTAATAAGGCTCCGTGAACCCACTCCACTGCAGTATTTATTTTACCGCCCCCCTCGCCATCATCTCTAATTTATTAATTCCTCCGACTGGCCGGTGGGGTGGGGGGGGAGGATCGCGTCACGAGGAGGTGGGCCCAGCGTCGACGCTCCTGGGGGCCTCGCGGTGTGCCGGGCAGTGATGAACAAAGGCAAAGATCCCCTGAAATCCCTTAACAGACTGTCGGGGCAAGTGCTGCGAGCGAGCAGCACCTGTGAAGGCCGGCATAGGATGCGAGGGGGTTGAGTGGCCAGCACCACACCGGGGAATCGAACTCGGGTCGCCGGGATCGTAGCGCAGCGCGCTATGTGTCCTGCACACATTGTGTCCAGTGATACAAAGACAACGATCTCCCATATAGCTTTAACAGTGGGTGACCAACACCACGCCCGACCGCCTTTGTCTCCCTAGTGGCAATGTTTACACACTGAAAAATGTACTCATTTGAGGCTGAGTCGATCTAGGAGAGAGCCAGGATCGGTTCAGATTATCGTCACTGGTGTTGGCCGTGAGCGGGAATCGAACTCGGATTCGTAGCGCAGCGTGCTAACCACTACACCACCGCTCCCCACGTGTCCCATTATACACGTACACAAACTCTCTGTGCCATGGGACGAACCAGACAAAATAAACGCAACTTAACATAATGGATTATATCGAATCGTGATAATATATTATATCGCAGTGGTGGAGGGATGTTGTGGTGGGTGTGAGGGTAAGCAACTGCTGCGGCGAGTAAACATCAGCACCGGAGAGACAAAGACGGTCCGGCGTGGTGATTGCCACACCACTCCCTCGTGTGCCGTGCCGGCCTTCATAGCTGCTCGCTAACAGCACTTGCCCCTACAGTCTGTTAAAACTATACACGGGGGATCTTTGTCTTTGGGGGTGGAATGGGGGAGCGGTAGTGCAGCAGTTAGCGCGATGCGCTACGAACCCGGCAACCAGAGTTCGATTCCCGCTCACGGCAAACACCAGTAACGTTTATCTTACCGGTCCTGGGCTTCCCATAGGTTGTCTCAGCCTTAAATAAGTACCTGGTGCGCTGTGTAAACATCGTCACATGTGGGTGTGTAGGGGGGGGGGTGTACACGAATGCGGAGCCCCGCTCCCGTCTTCATCCATCAAACGCATCCGCTCACTGAGCTAAGGGCCCCCATGCTCACTGAGGGGTCACATGGGGGGAGGGGGGGTATTTATTATTAAACACACACAATGTCACTGGTGTTGGTCAAACATCCCAATGCAAGGATCCTCCTGAAAATAATCTTGCGATTCAGCGTGGCCTTCCTGGGGTAAATATATATTTTTTAAAATATGAATCAGCGTTGTCGTTGATAAATTAATTAGGATCATCATTAGCATCGCCATTATCATCAGCGGCAGCCGCAGGCCCAGCACGGCGCGTGTTGCTGTAAGCCACTCGTGGTGCACGTGCACCACGAGTGGTGCCGAAACGTTGTGACGAGAGGGCGCAGCGGCGAGGAAGGGACTAATGGAACACGAAGAGCGGGTCGAGAGTGGCGGAGAGCGATGAAGCTGGGGTGGTGAGTGGAGAGATTGGTGGTGGTGGGGGGAGAGTGGTGATGGAGAAATGCAGAGAAATGAGAGAGAGCCCCAGGAATACTGAGAGAGAGAGAGTGTGTGAGAGAGCGTGAGAGAGAGGCCGCGGTTCTGATTAATTTCCCGATGCCACGCATGGATCCCAGCAGCAGATGGAGGCGAAGACGGGGGTAACGGAAGAGGGGGTAGGGGGGATGCACAGACCCCCCCCCCCTCACTCATCGCACACGGACCCCCCCGCCACTCTCATTCATCACAGACAGACCCCCCCACTCATCACACAGAGACCCCCCACTCTCACTCATCATAGACAGACCCCCTTCACCCACCACAGACAGACCCCCTAACACATCACAGATCCCCCACTCATCACACAGAGACCCCCCACTCTCACTCATCACAGACAGACGCCCCACTCATCATACAGAGACCCCCCTCCTCACTCATCACATAGAGACCCCCCCACTAACTCGTTCTGCCACCGCCCGGTGATAGATCACACGTGCTCATTATTCTCGTCCCTTCGCAGTGTGTGCACGTGTTCGTATGTGTGTGTATATGTGTCCGTGTGTGTACACGTGTCAGTGTGTGTGTATACACGTGTCAGTGTGTGTGTACACGTGTCAGTGTGTGTGTACACGTGTCAGTGTTTGTGTGTATACGTGTCAGTGT